CAGACCCACTCAACCCAAATGCTGTTAAAAATTTTATTCTTCTCATTTCCATTCATACTGGATAAATTGAATTGGACAAATTCAATAGAAGTTGAAAAATGTTTAGCTTTCTTTTGGACGACTTCCTTATAGAGATAAATTACCCTGTCCCCCACCACTGAAAATTCTTGATTCTCTTAAATCTAAAGTAAATGATCTGTAAATAAAAATATTTTCTGCTTCCTTGAAAACATCTATTGAATGTTTTGTGACTCTAACCCAGTTACTAGAGTTCCCTCCTGACACCTCCCCCGCCACAGCTGCCCCCCTCGTTTTGGAGGAGAACTTGTATTTTCCTCACTTATTCATTTAACCACCAACCACAAAGCCCCTGCTTTATTCCATCAACTACTCCTTACTTGTCCAGGTGATTCTTACTTCATCCCAAGTCTAGCCCCAAGCATTTCCTCATAAAAAGCAATGATTTAAAAAAAAAAAAAGCAATGATTAAATATCTGTTTAGTCTTGGCCAGGCACTGGTCCTTCACGTTATTTATCCCTCATAATATTTGATGAAGGTGGCATTGCATCTTCCATTTCAGTTAAACAGTTAGCTTGCATTTCTGTTAACTAAAATTACTGTAATAATGTTTTTGAAAGAGTTTTTTCAGGAGGGGAAGAAAGAGGATGCCTTTTAAGCTGTAGAACAGCGTATTGTGTTTGTGATGTTGTCGTGGACTTGGAGCCCCTGAGATGCCCCCTAGTCAGCTCTGTCTGGTTCGATGCTGTCCCTCAAGGTAGCGGGGAAGAGCTGTTCTTCCCCAAATGCCAAGTGCGGTGGTCACCAACCTGCAGAGCCTGCAGTGTCCCGGTGTCCCAGTGTGTGATCCAGCCCAGCAGGGAAGCTGAGGGCTGGCCCTTTAGTATGCTGGTGGTCCCTTGTGGGTTCCTTGGGGCTTTTTGTTCATCTGGGGAGTTGCTGCCACGTGATTGTGATCGTGATCACTCATACCCCTTGTCTGCAGGTGGTTACTGATGACTGACCATTCCCATCACAGGACTGTCCCTTGGCTCCAGGATTCCTTGTGGCCTGGCAACCACAAATGTCCTGTGCGTTCATGTCTCCCTGCCACTTGGGGTGCCCTCTGCCTTTGGCCTTGAGGACATACATGTACACAGCTTACCTAGATGTTTTCTCTCTCAGTTAATGTCTCAGTATTTCCTAGGGCTGAAAGGCCTTACAATATCATAACATCAGAGGATTTCTGCATGTCACCTGGTTTGGGCCAACTTCGTCGGGGATCTCAAAGCATATCGGTTGTTTTATGGCATGACAAAGCTTTTTGGGACTGTCATCTACATTGGATTTTAACGATCACCTATCAGGATAGATTTAGGAACATCTGTCTGACCTTCTTAAGAATCTGGAGGAATTCCCTGGCGGTCCAGTGGTTAAGACTCCACGCTTTCACTGCAGGGGCCATGGGTTTGATCCCTGGTCAGGGAACTAAGATCTCACATGCTGCGTGGGGCAGCCAGTCATCTTTCATCTAGAAATCTTTTTAGCTGGCTCTCAGCTATGAAATGCAGGTAATATGATGAAATACCGATGGGAATTCTAGAGAAATGGTGTTAGCACCACAGAACGCTTTGCTTTGTGTAAAACTTTGGTGCTCCAGCTTGGAGGTAGGACAGGGCTCAGTTTACAGAAAGGGAGCATTTTCCATCCTCCAGCCCCAGTCGCCCCATCATTCAGCTCTTCACTGGCTCAGGATGAGCTTTCCATTCAGCCCAAGTCCAGCCCTGAGCATTTTGTCATGAAAAACAGGGACCCTTCCTGAGGACCAGAGAACTGATGCTTTCTGACAGGCAAAATGTTGATTCAAAAAATAAATATATAAGTGATTCAGGATGATTCTCAACTTAATCTAGAACAATTCACAAGTGGGAGTAACCAAGAAAATACTGAAAAGGAAGAGTTAAGAGGGTAAATATGTATCAGCTATTTAAAAGATGCTATTACACTACAAGTTTAAAAAAACCTTTGGGGACTTCCCTGGTGGCGCAGTGGTTGAGAATCTGCCTGCCAATGCAGGGGACACGGGTTCGAGCCCTGGTCTGGGAAGATCCCACATGCCGTGGAGCAATTAGGCCCGTGAGCCACAGCTACTGAGCCTGCGCGTCTGGAGCCTGTGCTCCGCAACAAGACAGGCCACGACAGTGAGAGGCCTGCACACCGCGATGAAGAGTGGGCTCCACTCGCCACAACTGGTGAAAGCCCTCGCACAGAATCGAAGACCCAACACAGCCAAAAATAAATAAATAATTAAATTTTTTTTTTTAAGTGATAAAAAAAACCTTTGGTTACTGGCTCAGAAATAGACCGAAATATGTCTTAGAAGGTAGCATATCATAAAGGTAGCATTCAGAGCAATGAAGAAAGGGTAAATTATTAAGTAAATGGTGTAGAAGTAAGTAAACTACTGTACACACACAGACTACATCCTGGGAAAAGTACTTGCAGCGTAAAAGACAAATTCTTGAATGGGTCTAATAAGTCCTTACAAATTGTTAAGGAAAATAACCTGTAGTAGAAAATCGGACAAAGGACATAATGAGCTGTTAGATGTAGTGTATATGACTAATGAATTTATTCAGTCTCACTAGTAATCCAGGAGCTGAAAATTAAGACAGTTATGCTCTGTCGTTTTCCCACCTGTCGGGTTGGCAGCGCAGAGGCCATGGGGGCTCCGGGAAGGGCACCACCCGACCTGGGGGGTGTGGGCTGGGGTGCCTGTCTGGCCTGGGGAGCAGGATGCCACTGGGCAGATACACAAGTAGTAACAATAATAACGGATGTTTTAAAGCAGCCTGAAAGTCCAACAGGAGGCGATCAGTTGAGTAAACTATGCTCTGCAGACACACACCGACAGGGGAACACCCAACTGTTAGAAGTAGGAGCGGCAGAGCACAGTTCTCAGTGTGGAGAGACATTTCCAGTGTAAGCGAGTGAATAAGTCAGGTCAAGATACCGTGTACAAAATGACGGCACATCTGCTCCACACACTTACACACTTGTCTGGAAGAATGTCACCCAATTTTAACTGACCCTCTCTGGTTGGTAGAATTATGGTTTTGTTGTTGTTGTTTCTTAACCATTGATAGCATGGCAGAATTATGGTTTTTTAAAAGTATTATTTTCACTTAACACTCTCTTCTGGTTTTTCTACAAAAGAATATGTTTATATCATTCTTTTAATTTTTTTTAAGTAATAGGAATAAAAATTACCCAAGTTAAATAATTTCTTTACCAGCCAATTAATAGCATTTGTTTATTCTTCATATGCTGGTCATGGCCACAGTCATTCAAAACCGCTTATTTTAAATTTTTGTGCCGCTGCACCATTTGTGTGCATTTTCCTGGCAATGGGGCGGGTGTTCTTCATTTTAGTTAAGTTGTGAGTGATGTCATCAATACAGATTTTCTTTCTGATGCACCCCCGCCCGCCCCCGACCCGGGTGTTTTTGCCCTCTGTCACTGCACTGGGTGAGTCATCCTTTGGGCAGGAGCCCCAGTGCTTTTCAGCACAAAGACCTCTGAGAAGCAGCTGTAGGAAGAAGCGTCTCTGGGGCCCAGAGTTGGGGTGGGGGACTGGGTGCAGTTTTTACGGGAAATACAGCTATGGCCACCACGAACTCATTGCCTCTCCCAGACACCCAAAACCTGGAACCAACAGCCCATTTTATATTCCCATCTTCTGCAACACTGTTAGTGTCTTAAGAACCCAGCTGACATTTATGCTTCCTACAAATGAAATTTCTAATATTTCCATTTTGTACGCCGTAAAATCAAGGTGTTAACAGTTCCCATCAGGGTTGTTGCAGGGCTGTGGCCTTCAGGCCATCACCTAGCCGAGGGCGGGGGGGGGGGGGGGGGTTTGCTGCCCAGTGCCCATCCCCCCAGACCCTGCCTTTACCCTGGGCTGTCAGTGTTAACCTAGGTGTCCTCCTAAGAACATTTAGGATTTTCTTTTATTTTACAAAGTGCTTTCTTTTCACTTGATTCGATAGTAATTTTGCTCAGAAACTTACCATATAAAGTGCAGATTCCAAATCTAGGCCAACAACCCCCCATCTTGTTTTTAAAAGAATCAGAACAGTACTATGCATTGCCGGTTATTCCACGAAGGATGGCTTCCTGAACTGAGCAGTGACTGAGATACAGGTTAAGAGGAAAGTACACCTGGCCTCTTTATTTATTTTTATTTTTGAAAATTAGAGACTTTTTTTTTTTTAATTTATTTTTGGCTGCGTTGGGTTTTTGTTGTTGCGCGCGGGCTTTCTCTAGTTGCAGCGAGTGGGGGCTACTCTTTGTTGTGGTGCATGGGCTTCTCGTTGCGGTGGCTTCTCTTGTTGTGGAGCATGGGCTCTAGGCGTGCGGGCTTCAGTACTTGTGGCACGCAGACTCAGTAGTTGTGGCTCGCGGGCTCTAGAGCGCAGGCTCAGTAGTTGTGGTGCACAGGCTTAGTTGCTCTGCGGCATGTGGGATCTTCCCAGACCAGGGATCAAACCCATGTCCCCTGCATTGGCAGGCAGATTCTTAACCACTGCGCCACCAGGGAAGTCCACACCTGGCCTCTTTTAGATGTGCAGTGTTGAGAGGAATAATATTACTCCATTGCCTAAGGACCAGCTACATAATTTGTGGGGCTCAGTGCAAAACTGGAAATGGGGGCCCCTTGTTCAAAAACTATTAAGAATTTCAAGATTAAAGCCAGCGTGTGTAGGCTTTTCCAACTTCAGGGCCCCGGGTGACTGGCGGATAGCTGGTTAGAAGGCTGTGGTATCTACTGTTGGGAAGCTCTCCACAGCGCTGTGGCGGGTGGTGGACGGGAAGGGAAGCCGGCTCTGGGGTGCAGAAACCACATTCTGGGCCTGAGCGTGAGCCCTTCTGAGGGGCTGCTGTCATCTGGCCACCCCACATTCATGACGCCTGCTGTTTTTCTTCCTTGCACGTATAGAAATTTATTGAGTTTGAAGATGCCTTGGAACAAGAGAAGAAAGAGCTACAAACCCAGGTGGAACACTACGACTTTCAGACCCGCCAGCTGGAACTGAAGGCCAAAAACTATGCAGATCAGAGTAAGTCGCTAGCCCGGAGAGATGAAATTGCATTTTGAATGCATTTGTTGTTCTCAGACCCATCCAGCTGGGAGGGATGTTGAGAGCCTTTGATAAAAAGAGAGTGAGAAAACCCAAGGAGAGCCTTATCTTACTTTCATTGTGATTCCCTCAATAATTTGTTTTCTATCTTTACACCGCTCTGTATTTCTGTAAATGGCCTCAAATCCTTTGTGGAAATAAATAAAATTTATAAATAAGACCCCTCTGATGACAGAGCACTTCTGCTTAGTGTTGCAGTCTGACCCAAAATTCACAGATCTGTGAACTTTGTGTGGCCCTTTAGGACAGAGCTCCTGGCTGCTGTCTGGGGCTCCTGTCTGTGAGCCGCTTGAGGAGCGGGTGCTCTTTTGTGACCTGAAAGTTGGGCCCAACAATGGTTCCCCTGTAATGACAGTTCCTAGGGGGCACTCATGGCCAACCAGGGTGCCTATGGGAACACCCTGTCCCTTTACAAGGAGAGACGAGGAAAGGGTTTTGTGTTGTTTTGTTTTTTGTTTTTTTTTAAATAAGAACTATTATTTTACCTTTGGAAGTCTTTGTTTAAACTATACTCTCAAAGTTGTAACGACCCTGTAATTTCAGTTTTCTGTAATTAGTGGTTTTGATGGTTGAGACCTAGTTTGCTGCTTTACCTCATTACCTTGGATAACAGGTGCCTTCGTTCCTCTGGAAAGTTAAGATCATATCAAAAAAAAAAAAGAAAAGAGGGACTTCCCTGGTGGTGCAGTGGTTACGAATCCACCTGCCAATTCAGGTGACGGGTTCGAGCCCTGGTCTGGGGAGATCCCACATGCCTCAGAACAACTAAGCCCGTGCACCACAACTACTGAGCCTGTGCTCTAGAGCCCACAAGCCACAATTACTGAGCCTGCGTGCCACAACTACTGAAGCCCGCTCACCTAGAGCCCATGCTCCCAACAAGAGAAGCCACCACAATGAGAAGCCTGCGCACCGCAACGAAGAGTAGCCCCCACTTGCTGCAACTAGAGAAAGCCTGCTTGCAGCAACGAAGACCCAACGCAGCCAAAAATAAAATTTAATTAATTAATTAAAAAAACAAAATGGTTTGATGGTTGGGTCTATCCGTATCCCAAACCAAGACTGGAAACCCATTTTGCTAAAGCCAATACCCCCCGGGTGTTGTAGGTGAGCACAGCTAGTGGCAACACACACACACACAAACACGCTAGTCTTTGTGGAGCAGAGGCAAACCGAAAGGCCCATTTTAGTTTTGCATAGATCCACCCTTTCTATAACTACACAGAATCCTTAATATTCCCTTTGCTTAGAATAATTTTCATGTGAAACCTTTTCATCTTTTCTTAGAAAGAAAACATGTAAACTCCAAGGTACAGTCTGAAGTTTTCCATTTGGTCAGCATCAGGGACAAGGACTGAGGAGAGGGGAGAACAAGGCTGCTGTGTGTCCTGTCTCGCTCTGTGCAGAGTTCAACAAAACTGACATTGGAACAAAGGGCCACAGATGCAAAGTGTCTGAGGCCCGCGGCATGCTGGCTCCGTGGCTTGGCTGTCCAGTTAGCCTGTGGCACTCAGGTGCTTCCCTGTGCCTCTTGGTCAGAGCACACGTGGTGGGGACCATCCTGGGTGTCACAGGGGTGACACAGCTGCCAGCCCAGAGGTGGCACGATCGTGACTTGGTCTTTCCAGCCCCTGGTCCGTGTGAGGGACACTTGTGTGTTCCATCCTGTGTTCAGATATTCTTCTCTTTAGTGTGTCTCAGAGGCTGCTTACTTCCGAATTCTGCCTCTCTCCACAAGCCACCTGCTCGTTCCTTGTCTACATGTGACACAACGTGACTTAGACATAGAGAGTAAGGCTTGTGTGAGTTTCACCCAGCTCTGCCTCTTTGTAGCAGGATTGAATAGCCTCAGATAACCGCACACACGGTGATGCACCCAGACCCGGGCCCATCAGAACCGCCTGCTAGGGTCCCCAGGGTGCTTTGCGCTGATGAGGCCACCTCTGAGCTCAGGGTCCAGGCAGGGTTTGTCTGGAATACTCTGTCCCCCAGCAGTCAAGTCCAGAGAAGTACGTGCCCTGGAGAAGCGGGCTGTGCAGTTGACAAACATTGGTTGTGTTTTCTAGTTTCCCGGCTGGAGGAGCGGGAGTCGGAGATGAAGAAGGAGTACAATGCCCTGCACCAGCGGCACACAGAGGTGGGTGTCCCCGCCACGGGGCCAGGGCCACGAGGAAGTGATAAAGCCCCACACGTGGGGTTGGCTGCCGACCTTGGCTGCCTTTTCATTCCCTGGGGTTCACCTGCTGAACCTGAAAGCCCTGGGCCTCATGTGGCCAGACTCCCTTCCCTGAACTCTGCCTTCATCTCTGTCCGAGCCCAGTGGGGGTGAAAGTGGCACAGGCTAGAGGGGGTGGGCGGGTGGACCTCGTGGGCAGGGAGCACTCACTTGGATGTGTCCTCTTCACAGATGATCCAGACCTACGTGGAGCACATCGAGAGGTCCAAGATGCAGCAGGTCGGGGGGAACAGCCAGACCGAGAGCACCCTGCCGGGGAGGAGGTAGGGCAGGAAGCCGGGTGCCAGAGCTTGGTGCCCTCCCCCAAGAGGAGCCGTGGCCCCCACCCCCGACTCAGGGAGAGGGGTGTCCGGTTGGAGTGTGTGGCTTGAGCCGGGGTGTGTGCAGAGGACGGCACCAAGCAGGTGAGGGGCTGGGGTGGGCCTGCTGCGGGCCCGCAGGCCGTCACAGAGACCCAGGGAAAACCGTGTAGTCCGTCCTAATACCTGCAAATTCTGTGTTTCTGAATTCGCCTACTCTGTAAAATTTATTTGTAGCCTCAAAATCACCACTTACGGCACTTTCGCAGTCATCTGCAGATGTGCGCAGAGCAGTGAAAAATTTGAGTCACCCAGTGCACAGGGTGCCAGCTGAGGTGGTGCCAGGCGACGCTCCACCTCCTGCAGTGATGCCCAGGGATGGGGGCGGCGGGTGGCGCAGTGTCCTGCAAGACGCTGGGGTCCAGGGGCCAGTCAGTGGGGTCTGGATGGAGCCCAGCTCTGGCCCCTGTCCTCTAAGACATGTTAAATACTTCTAGCACCTCGTTTTCTGTTTTGTAAAATAAAGGAAACAGTGTACCAGGATGAGTGAGAAATGGAGATTCTAATCTGTGTGAGATGTGTACCTACCTATGTACATGTTTCTTCTACAAGCAAACGTGTTTGCGGTGACTTTGTAGAATACAACCAGCTCGAATTGCGAGAATCGACTCTAGGTGGTGGGGGAGGCCTGCACACCTCGGTGACCAGCAGACACAGTCACACCCCGCCATGCTGGTTTTATTCGGGGAGCAGAGAGAAGCCTGCAGAGGCCAGGTTCCTGCTTCATCTTCATTCAGGATAAAACCACACCTCAGTACCCCAGGAGCAGATTGTCAGAGATCTTCTCCAGGGTGTTACCATGGGAGGCCATGGCTCCATCAGGCTGGAGGAGGGAGGAGGTGCCTGAGGCTGGAACCCCAGGCCCAATGGATGGAGCTCGCCGTTCGTGCCTCTGCAGCTGTGGCCCCTTGTTCCTGCAGCGAACACCGGAAGCCCCAGGTCTGGTCATGAAAAAGCTCTATTTTCTCTGCACCTGTCTCCTTGATGGGTGATGTCTGCAAACAAGGAGATTCAGGCCCTTCCATTCTGGGCATCGTCAGCTACTCACTGGGCCATGGTGGGCGAAGCTGTTGAGTCTTCCAGTTTGAAAACGGAAAGTGTAATATGTCAGCGGAGGCCTAGCAGGGCCTAGGAAGAGCAGTCATCCAGGGGACCACTGGCATGTTTTTAGACAGTCTCGCCGCTTCTCGTGGGGAGTAGGGGATAGAGCCGTTGTGGATGCTTTCTTTCTGTAAATGTGTGTGCCCCAGGAAAGGATATCAGGGGGTCATTAGCTGACCCCCCTGGCTCTGTGAGAATTAAGTGAGGGATTGTGTATCAAAGAGTGTGTTAAACTACAAAACCCTTTGCAGGTATTGTTTCTGGGTCAGTTTTATCTGAAGGTAGGAAATACCCATCTCCAAGCCACCGTTTCCCGACACACTGTGAAAGCCTCACTACTGGCCCTTAGAAGTCACTGAGGGAATTTCCAAGGAACTGCACCAAATGCCAACCTGGAATCGGGAGCTCCTCGTGTTGTTTTGGGGCTGCAGAGGCTGGCTGTTCGGGCATTACCAAGAGTTTGGGCTCTGGCCCAGATTCCTGCCCAGCCTTGTGTCCCCATCTGATCCTCCTCCGGGTGTCCCCGAGGCCAGGGTGCACTTGGCTGTGTGTCCATCCTCTCCAGGCCCTGGACACTCTCTGCTAAGACACCTTCCTGAGCCCCACGGGGGTAGAGATGCCTGCCAGCAGGAAGGAGGAGCCTGGGGCTGTCAGCTGCGACCCTCCTGTGCCTTGGCAGTGAAGAGGCGCCTTCCTGTGTGTGTGTGTGTTGCGGGGCGGTGGCCGGAGCAGAGCTTGTTTGGGAAGCAGAGAGGCAGGGCTGCGTTTGGGCTGCCTCCATTGCTCTGCCAGCTGGCTGGAGACATTTAACCTCACTGTGGCGCACGAAATCGCTTGCCCCATGCTTGCTGCCACAGTGTATGAGACTCTGGGCTCCTGCTGGCCCTGTAGCCGCCCTTGCCCAGCCAGCCTGGACACTGGGCTGTGATGGAGATGTTCCCAGGGCCCACCGTGCGTCTCTGACGGTCCTGGGCCCACTTTCAGATGAATGGATGTGGATGGCAGCCATGCCTCCCATGTCCAGCGGGCACGCTGGTGGAAGGAGAGAAAGCACAGGCCTTCTCTCACTGCGCTGGGCGTTGGCCTCTGTAGGGCTCAGAGAGTGCAGACATCCCACTGTGGCCTGTGCTGCTGCAGCAGATGAAGGGGAAGGCCCTGTTCTGCCCTCCTGACCTGCTCTTCTCTGGGGTGTACCCCTCCAGCCACAACTCTGTATCCTTTGGGGACAGATGTGTGTCTGCCCATCTTAGTTTAGACTCTCCGGCTCCCCGAGGAGGCTCGTCCTTAGTGCCGGGGAGCTGCTGGCCACTGCTGAGCCCAGATAGGCACAGTTTTCCTTCAGTCCTGGCTTGGTTTTGTGAATCTTTGTGTCTTTAGAATAAAACCGGTGGTGAGGGCTTCCATGGTGGCGCAGTGGTTAAGAATCCGCCTGCCAATGCAGGGGACACGGTTTCGAGCCCTGGTCTGGGAAGATCCCACATGCTGTGGAGCAACTAAGCCCGTGCGCCACAACTACTGAGCCTGTACTCTAGAGCCCGTGATTCACAACTTCTGAGCCTGCGTGCCACAACTACTGAAGCCTGTGCACCTAGAGCCCATGCTCCACAACAAGAGAAGCCACCACAATGGGAGGCCTGTGTACCGCAGCGAAGAGTAGCGCCCGCTCACCGCAGCTAGAGAAAGCCCACACGTAGCAACAAAGACCCAACACAGCCAAAAATAAATAAATTAAATAAATAAATTAAAACAAAACAAAACCGGTGGTGAGCGTGCGTGGGCCCGTGAACATGGCGTATGCAATCGTGTGCCCTGTCACTGCACACGCGAGTGCCTGCGTGTGCCAGGAGCATCGTGGGGAGGACACTCACCCACTGCCCGGGGCTGAGTGGGCGCACCCTGCCGTCCAAGCCAAGGGGGTGTGTGTCTGTGTGCCCTGTGTCCATCCTGCGTAGGATCTGCGTGTTCCACATCTGTCTGTCTCCATGGGGGCCCTCCCTCTCCATGTGCGCACACGTGCCCCCAGAGCCCCCAACCTTCCCTCTCTAATGTTGCCTTCTTGTCTTGCCCTCTGTGCTGTCCCCGCTGTGTGCTGGCCCTCGTCTGTCACTGCCCTGCAGTCCTCGCCAGTCGTGGAGGAGAAGGTAAAGGCTGCAGCTGTCCCTGGGCCTCGGGTTGGGGGAGCTCGGATGGCTGCCGGAATCATACAGATTGGAGGCTCTGGACTTGGCATTGACAGGGCCTGCTGCCGAGGAGAGGCAGGCGGGTCCCAGGCCCCAAGGCAGCAGGTCTGAAGCAGGTAGCAGTGCAGACCCCACTAGCAAACGTCCACCCGGCCTGCGGGTCGGGCCGCATGTCTGCACCCCCAGGAGGTGGCGGGCAGGGGTGGAGACCTTGCGCCTGGTGTTAGGCAGCCCAGCTCAGTCACTTAGGACCCAGAGCCAGTGGCGTGACCTCTGCGAGCAGTGTGACGCCCTCGGGCTATAGCCTCTGAAGTGGACTAGCATTGGCATCTCCCGGGGGAGCTGCAGGGCTATAACAAGAGGACACGGTGGGTGAGCCTTGGATGGGCTCTGGCCGGCAGTCAGCAGCACCCAGCGAATGCTCTTGAGGCTTGCGGTTGCGGGGAGCAGCGGAGAGGACGTGGGACTCGATCCTCGTGAGGATTTCCATCGGGGAGTGCGGCCTGGCTGTCTGTTGACGCATAGAGTCGTGGAGGCGGGCGATGGATGCGGGCTCCCATCCTGGGGGGCAGGTGGCCCCACCCTGCCGTGCCGTCATGTTACCCTGTGGTATCTGGTGACAGCCTGGGCCGAGGAACCCCTTATGTGCATCCCCCACCGAGGTCAGAGCTGGGCCCCAGGAGAGGCACCCCCATATGGGCACTGGGAGCCCAGTGGAGGAGCAGTGGTGGAGGAGGGGCTGGGAGCCCTGAAGGAGCAGCCCACGGAGCAGTGGCTGCCTTCCCGGACGCCGAGGGCCTGGGGGCTGTGGTCAGAGAATGGCCTGGCGAGGACTGAGCCACGGGCTGCTGAGCTTGGGATGGATCTGCAGACCCAGAGCTTTCTAATTTGACGTCTGAGCTCTTAACCAAGAAAGTGTCATCTGTCATGGGGGACAACGGCTGCATGAGGCACTTGAGGTCGTCAGCAGGAAACCGCCTTCCTGAGTGGCCGAGGCCCCTGTCTGGCCCTGCAGGCCTCCTCTGGCCCTGTCCCTCCCGCAGCTTAGCCCCCAGAGGCACAGCCAGGTCCCAACAGGTCTGGAGACCCTGCTGTGCGGGAGGCAGTGTCTTCCTGAACAGAACAGACCAACAGCTCGAGCAGCTCGGAGGGGCTTCCAGATTCGGAGTTCTCCTCCTGCTCCGCCCCAGCCCCGCCGCCCTGGAGCCGTTGGGGCACCCCCAGAGAGACATCCTTCCCAAAGTCGTGCCTCAGGCAGCTGCCCGCCAGCCATAGGAAGTTCTGGTCATGGCGGCCGCTCCGCTCCCCTGTCCATCACCTGCATCCTCCAGGCACTGTGAGGAAGCCACCATCCTCCCTCCAGGACAGCCCAGCCTCTGGACCCGGCTCCGTGGGACCCCTGAGGAAGCCTTGCCACCCCTCCCACCTCAGCCCCTGTGTGTCAGGGATTCGGATGCTTGGCCTGAACAGCTCTGAGCAGCATGGACTCCATGCAGCCGCCGACAGGCTCTGGGGCGCCATGTGTCTGCCCTGGGCCTGGGCTCCGTTCCCTCGCCGCTAACAGCCCACGGGACGTATCCCAGGGACTGAGCCCACGGCAGGCGGCTTTGAGCATCAGTCCAGCCCACTGGACATTCTCAGTTGGGTAGCATAGCTTTATAAGGCGCCTCTGTGGTGTCAGTGCTCCGTGATGGGGGGAACTGCTCGGAGCAAGAGAAAAGCGCCCCATGAGAAACTCCGTACCCAGGTCTCCTGAAAACAGTGATGTGGTGTTGGGGGAGGGCGAGGAACAAAGAACAGGGGAGAAAGGGTTGACTCGTCCTGGCTGGCTCCAGGAGGCAGAAGTAGGGCCAAGGAGGAACCAGGCAATGCTGCCTGTGATGCCAAAGGGCCTATCACAGGCACTGCTGTGCAGGTGTCTGTTTACAATGGAAATAAATAAAACTGATAAATGACAGTGTAACGGAGGGGAATGTTCTATGGGATCACAGCGGAGTGGCGATGCCCTGAGCGGGTGAACACGCTGATTAGTGCGGCTGCAGGCCAGAGGGGTCTGAGGTCCTGTGTGCCTGGCCACCCAGAAGGTCACGCCCTTCCCTACAGCCCGTGGTCAGGGGCGTCTTTTAGAGCAGCTCCAGCTGCAGAATAAGCATCCGCATGTCCAGAAAGAGTTTGCAGCCGTGTTTCAGGAGCCCCTGTCTAATCCCCCCTCTCCTTCTCTCCCCACATTTCAACAGGAAGGAGCGCCCCACCTCCCTGAGCGTCTTCCCCCTGACCGACGGTATGGTACGTGCACAGATGGGGGGCAAACTCATGCCTGCGGGGGACCACTGGCACCTGAGTGACCTCGGCCAGCTGCAGCTCAGCTCCAGCTACCAGGTTTTGTAGCCGTGCTGTGGAGTGAGGGCTCCCCGTTGCCCCACATTCTTTCAGGAGGGTGTGGCCGCAGCCGGGACTCTTGGCTGCTCGGGGACCTGCCTACAGCCAGGGCATGCCCATCGGACAGGGGGGACCTTCCTACAGCCAGGGCGTGCCCATCGGGCAGGGCTGAGCGTAGTGACCATCCCCGAACATAACCCAGAGCCTCGCAGCCAGACTGGGCTTCACCCCACACGTGTTGTCCTTCTAGCATCTGAGGTTTGCACTCCAACCAGGAGAAAGTCAAAGGCCAGGGGTCAGCTTCTCTTCTTTGGGCTGTTCTTACCGGCCTACCCGTGCTAACCACCTGAGTTTGAGAAGGAAGACGTCTCGGGTGTGCTCAGCTCAGCAGTGAGAGCACCCACCCTCCATCCCCAGCACTGGGGCCCTGGGAAGGCCAAGGGCAGGCACTTGTGCAGGGCCCCTGGCACTTGCTGCCAGTCTTGGTCTGTGAGCTCAGCCCATCTGGTGAAGGCAGGCTGTGGCAGGACGGAACGCGGGCCCCATTGCTCGTTGAAGAGACCAGACCCTCGCCCTGGGTCTGGTGATTCCCCACTGAGGCCATCAGAGGATACCCTCTGGGCCGGGTCGAGCAGTGGATGTGGGCCCAGGCTTCCCCACAGCTTCCTTCCCGCCGCGACTCATTGCCGGCTGTCCTGCCCTGCAGTGTCCAGCTGGGCTGCAGGAGGTCCCCACAAGCTGCCAGCTGTGTCGGAAAGCGACCCCACTCACTCTGCGTCTGTTCCGCGGAGTGAGCACACCTCGTGCCCGCCAGCCACTGGCTGTCCTGCCAGCAAGTGGGGTCCGGGCAGAAGGGGCGGGGCCCACAGCTGGCATGTACCCCCAAGCCCCTGCGGGGGCGTTGAGCCTCAGAAAGCTGGGAGGCTGGGGTCTCCAGACGGCCCCTTGGGCTAGCCTGTGTTCTCATGCGTCTCTCTTTCTCCTGCGTCGTCTGAAATCGTTCTCTCTTAATAAATTATAGTCCTTTATGTTTTAGTTCATAGGTGTGTTTTGTTTGATTTTTTTTTAATAATTACTTTTAAGTTCTTTTTATTTTATGCTCTAGGTTTTCAAGTTTTTCTAATTTTTTAATTTGTTTTGTTGTTTTTGTTTTGTTTTTTGTTTTTATATACTGTATTTTCAGTGTTTTAACCAAACAGTTGTGGCTCCTCATGGGAGGCATGGCCGCTGGGATGTGGGTTCTTTGCATTTGGAGGTCACTGCTGCACGTTGGTGTTAGAGGTTGGCAGGTTTCTTTAGGTAAGTGGTGGCCAGGGGGAGTGTCCTGTGGGTAAGTGGTGGCCTGCAGGCGACAGACAGCTAGGGGAGTAGGGGGAGGCCTGGTTATGCCGCAGAATTACCCACGGTGACTACCAGAGTCAGGAGGCCCACGGAAACAGTGTTCAAATCACGGACAGGTGGGGAGCGTGGCCATTGTGTCAGGTGGTCCGTGAGGCATGGGCTCATGTGCCCGGCCGTCTTTGTGGAAGTCCCTGTGCATCAGCCTGGAGCATAGCCCTCCTCGGGTACCACTCTCCTCGGAACCCTCCCTGTGGGAGAGCACTCGGGCCTCCACCACAGAGGCGTGCAGTGTGCACGGTGCTGTGAAAAGGAAAGGGTTTTTTCTTTACAAATTGGCCCTGAGCGGCAGAACCCAAACCCAAACCAAAAATGTTTGCAGGGGGCGCTTCTCACCACAGCTCATCAGCAACCCGGATGAGTGTTGTTGGCTATGGGGGCCATCCTGTTCCCTGTGCGGTGTTGTGGGCACCTTGCCTCCACCCATCCCCAGCTCTGGTCACCACAAGTGTCTCCAGACATCACCAAGTGTCCCTCAGGGACACAGCTGCTGGGATGGGAGCCCTGTCGAGAGGAGAACGAGGATGTGAGGTTCCGGGTAGAAGAGTCTCAGCCCAGGGAGAGGCGGCGCCTGGCGGGGACCAGGCTGCTCGGGAAAAGGCAGATCCCACGAGGCTCCCAAACCACTCTGACTCCTAGTCACCTGGAGGTGGCCATGGGAGCACGGTCAGCCCTTCCTAGTTAAAGGTGGGGGTAGGTTGGTCCCAGCATCCATCCAGCTTCACAGAGAAGGCCGACACCCCGTCATCAGCTCCTCTTGTAGGAAAGTTCTCCTGAAAGTGTGTCCTCTGAGGAAACCATGTGATCTGGCGCCGATGGGAACATGTACCCAGAGTGGCCTCTCAGTGCTGCCCCCCTCCGCCCCCATTGGTCTCAGCCCCTCCTGAGGCCATGCCCCTTCTCGGCACCAGGCAAGAAAGAGGCTGCGGGGGCCCCACGGCACCTGCTCAGGGGTGAGTCGGGGGTGAGTCTGGGGTTACCGATGTTAGTTCGTAGAAGAGCGGAGGCTATTTTTATTGAGGTTCCCTGATGGTTTCACCAGGAAAGACGGTAGGAGAGGAATGTTTGTTTGCTGTCCACATTTATTCAAACAATGTGTTCTCTCTCCAGGGAGATTCTTAAGGTCAACAGTTGATTGCAGTTTTTACTAATCTGGTCTTTTTTCACTCTCGGAACATTTGGGGGACGTCCCATTCTGTGGAATTTGCATTTGCGTAGGCGTTGAAGGCAAACTTTGGTTCGGTTGGGCCGTGGAGATTAAGCGAGACCCATCCCCTGGTGTCTCTTTGTTGGGGAGGCCACCACTGGCAGAACTGGGGAGGTGCCCACTTGTCACAGCCCCTGACTGTGGCCAGGGCGGGAGGCAGGAGGCAGGAACGAGAGGGACCAGCCCTCGAGGGCCTCGCAGTGGAGCAGTAACTTGATCAGAAGGCATGCCGGCCTCCCCGGCCTCCTTCCCAGCCGGGGAGCTTCTGCCCTGACCTGGGCTGGGGCTTAGCTCTGCCCACCCACCGGCTGCAAGGGGCTACCGGCCACATCCACATAGCTTCGTGTCTAGCCCCATACTGGAAAGCGTGCAAGCCAAAAGCCCGGCCCAAGCCATTTAAATAAGGTGTAGCCGCCTCTGGAAAGCCAGAGGCTGGATGAGTCAAGTGAAGAGGCTGGGAGGAATCAGCCCAGCGGGAGAGAAGTGGCCTCCTGTCACTTCCATTCTGGCACGGAGTGCTGTTTTACTGCGGCCGAGTGGCAAAGACCCCAAGCAAGGGGGCCTCGTGGTGGTGGCCGAGGCCCTGCCGGCCCTGCGTGGTCCACCCCTCGTGGCCTCCCCGGGGGACCCGACCCGCGCCACGAGCTTCCCTCTTCCTGTGTTTGGCCCCAGTGTCCGCAGGATGAGATGTCCGAGTCAGGCCAGTCCTCAGCGGCGGCCACGCCCAGCACCACGGGCACCAAGTCCAACACGCCCACGTCCTCTGTGCCCTCGGCTGCGGTCACACCCCTCAGCGAGGGCCTGCAACCTCTAGGCGACTACAGCGGCAGCTCCAAGAACAACAAGAGAGCGCGGGAGAAGCGCAACAGCCGCAACATGGAGGTGCAGGTCACACAGGAGATGCGCAACGTCAGCATAGGTACTGGCCGCCCCGCCTGCCCAGCGCCCCACCCTCACCAGCACCACGCATGTCTCCTCCCAGTTCGCAGGGCTGGTCGCTCCTGAGGCCTCTCCTTGGCTGCCCTGTCCTCAAGTGGTCATGCCTCTGTATGTGTGTCCTGACTGACCCCTGCTTTTTATAAGGACACAGTCAGATGAGACCAGGGCCCACCCTTTGGCCTCATTTTACCTTCATCACCTCTTTAAAAACCCATCTCCAATAGAGTCACGTTCTGAGGAACTGGGGTCCAGGGCTTCAGCCTGTGAATTTGGGGGACACAACTCAGCCTGACAGTAGACCACTGTCATCCAGCAGACACAGTCTAATCAGAGAAAAGGGAAGGAAAAAATGGCCTGTTCAGGTGGGATCACAGTTCTGGGGGACAGGCCCCATCCAGCCACCAGCTCGGGAAGAACCCCCACCATGACCGTCCCTGCCTGTGGTGGCCTAGCGTGGGGTCTCCGGACAGGGGGCCCCAGGGCAGCCATGAGTGGTACAGGGAACTGCTGGTCACCCCCTGACCCTGGGCTCCACTGTTTCCCCCAGGCATGGGCAGCAGTGACGAGTGGTCTGATGTTCAGGACATTATCGACTCCACCCCAGAGCTGGACATGGGCCGGGAGCCCCGCCTGGACCGCACGGGCAGCAGGTGCTCACTGGGCCCAAAGCCAGTCCCGAATGGCTCAGCACTCACCCTGGGAGTTGGTGCCCCTGGTAGAGGTGCCTCGCAGCCCCTCAAGGTGGGAGAACTGCCCAGGACACTGACCCGCCACCCGCCACACCTGCACTTGCGCCAGCGGTGTTGGCATCGAGTGGCCCCTCAGAGGTGTCCCCGTGTGCGGTCCAGTGGTGCTGCCCACTCACTCCACCTTCCTCGGCTGCGTGTCCCCACAGCCCAACCCAGGGGATCGTGAACAAGGCTTTTGGCATCAACACTGACTCCCTGTACCACGAGCTGTCGACTGCGGGGTCCGAGGTCATCGGGGATGTGGACGAAGGGGCCGACCTGCTAGGTAAAAACAACCATCCCCGGGACCCTGTTGTGGTTGGGTTTGTGATGAAAGCAAAGTCTCTGTGAGCCAGGAAGTTCTTTTTACAAACTGTGAATATTGAGATGTATTCACTTACCGTAACTTGCCTCTTAAAGTGTGCCGCTCGGTGGGGTTTGGGGTGCTCACGGATTCGAGCAACTGTCTATAGACCATCTTGTCAGCCCAAGAAGAAACCCATTCCCAGTAGCCCTCAGCCCAGCCCTGCTCCAAGCCCCTCCCCTGGGCAGCCCACTTTCTAGGAACGTTTTGGGAGGGTGGTGGCTGCCAGCTCCTCCAGTCCACGAGGAGCATGCCCAGACAGTGTCAGTGCCCTCCGGGAGCCCTGCGAGGCTATGTCTGAGACGGGTGCAGAGACAGCCTGCCTAATGCAGACTTGCTCCTGGTCCTCCCTCCATGCCCGAGCCAGGCCCCGTGTGCCAGCGTCTGCCTGTACCTGAGGGCAGCCTGCATGGCTCTGAGGCCAGGCTGTGGCCCTCAGGGCAGTGGAGGGAAGTCACACTGTCTCTCAGTGGGGTTCAAGCTCCCCTAGCCCAGATGTGTGTCCGGAGCCCCAGCCTGGAGAAGCGGCCTTGTCCCCGAAGCCCTCTCTCCTGCTCAGCAGCCAGCAAGGTGGGCGTCAGGGCCGTGGTTCTGTTCTGTCCCCTCCCCACACCCCAAGGAAGGGTCCTCTTGTTTCTCCTTGGGGAGGGGCAGTAGCTGCCTCCACTGGATACGTGGCAAGCAGGGTGGTAGCGATTCCACTAAGAGAATCCGGGAAGGCTGCCTCCTGACGTTTGATCCATGTTGTATCATCTGCTGCCTGAGGAGGCGGAGCTGTCTGGCATCTGAGGGTTTCTGTTGCCAGCGTCTCTGCTGCTCTCACTCCCCCCGATAGACGCACCAGCAGGGACTCGGGGCATCTCTGGACCAGTTCCCCGGGTAGACAGCGCCGCCTGGCCGGCCTGCCAGCTGCACACACCACCAGGCCTGACCTGCAAACGAAGGGGGCCCAGCTGGCGTTTTTAGCTGGAACAGCCTCGCTTTCTTTGCAGTGGGCCTGCATCCTATTAGTTCTCATAAGTTGATTGTCTTACTCAGGGTGGGGAGACCTCCAGGCAGCAGCATCATCTGGGGTGTTTAGCACCAGCACGCCTTGTGCCTGGAACAGAAGTTTTTTCAGCCAGAATTTAAATTTTTCAGCCAGAATTTTCAGCCAGAGATATAGGTACACAACTGTATATATCAAATTGTGGTAAAACCATAATGTAAAACTTAATCAGTTTTTAGGTGTACATTTCAGTAAAGTACATTCATACTCAATGGTGAAAGACTGAAAGCGTCCCCTCTAAGATTAGGAAAAAGACAAAGATGCCCGCTTTTGGCAGTATATATTTTTAATGGAATTTTTCTCACAAGCATTGTAAAAATATATATTTAAAAATACACAAAAGCTGTTAGTATTCAGAAAAAGTCTACTCATTAGGGACAGTCACTTTTAGTATTTTGACATCCTTCTCTTCTTTACATATTTCAGATACTACCATATAAATTCAATTTTTAGGCATTTTTTTATTTTTAGAAAAAGGATACATGCTGATAATAGTATTAAAGTAATATCAGACATTGCCAAGAAGGAAGTAAAAACCAGAGGAGCCCCCAAGCCGTGATGAGTGACACCCTCCCAGGCGCCAGGGCCCCAGCATGCGCACCTGGGACGTGGGGTGGCAGCTTTTGTCTGGCCTTTTCTTCATGGCTGATGTTAATGTTTCCCTGAACCACTAAGATTCCTCTGCACGTTTTAACTTCCTTATCTTTGTGTGACTGTGAATTGCCTAATCAATTCTAATTTTTGCTGTTTGAATACCACTGTCATAGCTACCTGCGGGCGTAGATCTTTCTAGATGTGGGAACCCCCTGGACAGGTGTGGACTCGTGGGGATGGGCTGTAGGCTGCTCCCCTGCATGTGCTCACACCAGCAGGGCCGGGCGTGGCCGGGAGGAGGCACCTGGGATCCAGGCTGTGATGGGTGGTCACTGGAAGGAGTGCCTTTCTGCCCGGGCAACCTTGGAGCCGCGCCGGGCCTGGGGGGCAGCCTCCTGCACTGGAGAGCTTACACAGCAGGGCACCACACTTTCTTGAGCTTTTGAGAACCTGATAAAAAGGTAAAAGGCATCTCCCTAGGAAGACATACAGACATAGGATGTTTTGCATTTCCATGTCAGGGTCGGAGGCCCAGCTTCGCATTCCCGCTCCTGGTGCGGAGCTCTGGAGGAGGTCTGAGGGGCGAAGCGGGGCCCCTGCACCTCGTACCTTTCTTCAGTCTCGTCATGTGACAAGATTCCAACACTCATCACGGGCCTTACGAGAAGAGCGACACCAATGTTTTATATACCCAGCCACCGTTAATGCCTCACACTGCTAGTGTCTCCATTTCACAGATGAAGAAACTGAGGTCACAGAGGCTGAGGTGAAGTGGCAGAGCCAGGACTTGAACTCAGGTCCCACCCAGGGTGGCAGCCCTGCCTCCGACCACCGCTGTGCTTTTTTTAACAGCCTTATTGAGATGGAATTTCCACACCATACAATCCACCCACTTTAAGTGTACACCTCAGTGACTTTTAGCACGTTCGGATTTGTGCAGTCATCACCACATAGCTTTAGAACATTTTACACCGCCCCTCAAATGAAACCTGTACCCACTAGCAGTCGCTCCCCGCCACCACCCTGGCACTGCTGCTCTACTTCCTGTCTCTGCAGACTTGCCTGTTCTGGACATTTCACGTCAGTGACCTTTTCCATCTGGCTGCCTTCATTTAGCATCATGCCTTTAAGGTTCGTCCATGTTGGAGTGTGTCAGAGTTTCATTCCTTTTTATGGCTGAATAATGTTTCAGTGTGGATAGACCACATTTCATGTATCCATTCAGCCACTGATGGACATTTGGGTCATTTCACTTTTGGCTGTTGTGACTGATGCTTCTGCTACACTTGTGATGCCTTGCATGGTTCTATGAGATCACCGGAGCTCACTGGCCTTCTCGCTACCTGGTGGCACTGGGTGGCCTGCCAGTCAGTCCATCCCATCGGCCACGTTTCCTGCCTTGCCCTGTGGCCCCAGGCTGCAGAGCTGTCCCCTCCCCTGCAGTGCCCACAGGTGCAGTGCTGATGGTGTGCGTGCTCACTCCATGTGACTGCCCCCCACCCATCCTGGCGCCCCCGGGGCTGGCAGATGCTCTAGCATGTGGCCACATCCTGTGGTTCAGACAGCACCGTTCCGGACGCCAGAGTCTCCATAAAGAGTGATGGGAGAGAAAAGCAGAGAACTAGAAACCGCACACCAGTGAGTTTTACCTGGAGCCACATTGACTGAGTCAGTAGATAGAGGTGCAGTCTGTTGCAGCAGGGTTCCTGAGAGGGAAATGATGTCTGATGCATCTCCTGAGGTCAGTTCCCTCAAGCAGGAGTGCCTGACGTGAGAAGCTCTAACCAGTGCATCTGATGGGTCTGTGCTGAGGGGCTGAAGTGAGAATCGTCTTCTCACCGGGTGGTGAGTGCCCAGGCACTTGCGCTGCAACGCTTGGCGGGCGGGGGCCCTCTCAGGCACCACTTAGTTCTGGTTGGAATGAGACCCCACTCTTGGGAGTGATGGGCCTTTGGGTGCCTTTCTGGAGCCTTCATCACGAGGAGCACAGGCAAGGCAGGCAGCCCTGAGATGTTGAGGAGAGCCGCGAGCTCCTGTGATCTGTGGACAGAGCCCTGGAGTGAGGGTCCGGCCCTTTGTCCAGCAGGGTGGAGGGATGAGCTGGGGTCTGCTCGAGTCCCCAGAGTCTGGCTCAGCTGGAGGAAGTGTCAGTGACAGGAGGCCTGGTCCCCCATCACCAGTTCCTGAAGACATTCAGATGATGGATTATTCAATATGTGTACTGGATTCGTTGACTAGCCACTTGGAAAAAAATGAGGTCTAATTCAACCTCACTCCGAACACAAAAATAATTTCTAGGTGGATTAAAGATCTAAACATAAAAATACAAGGATAACAGAACTGGAAGAGAGTACTGGAGAGTATTTTCATAATCTGGGCTTCTCTTCATTGCCAAAACCAAAGAATATATATGTGTGTGTGTGTGTGTGTGTGTGTGTGTGTGTGTGTGTGTATGTGTATATATATGTACGTATGTGTATGTATATATATGTATTTATGGTCTTCACCATTAACGTTAAAAGAAGTGAAGTACAATAGGAAGCTTCCCTAGTGGTGCAGTGGTTAAGAATCTGCCTGCCAATGCAGGGGACACAGGTTCGAGCCCTAGTCTGGTAAGATCCCACATGCCACGGAGCAACTAAGCCCGTGCGCCACAACTACTGAGCCTGTGCTCTAGAGCCCGCGAGCCACAATTACTGAGCCCACATGCCACGACTACTGAAGCCGTTGCGCCTAGAGCCTGTGCTCCACAATAAGGGAAGCCACCGCAACGAGAAGTCTGCACACCGCAACAAAGAGTTGCCCCCGCTCGCCGCAACTAGAGATAGCCTGTGTGCAGCAATGAAGACCCAATGCAGGCAAAAATTAATTTAAAAAAATTTTTTAAATATGAAATGAGTAGAGGATAAAGCAGGACATTCACAGAAGAGACCCACAAACCTGAAAAGATGTTCAACTTCAAGAATAACACAGAAATGAATAGTGAGAGAGTATACAGCTAACTCTTTTTCCTCAAACGATTGACAAAAATGAAGCGGGTACTGTCCACCCCGCTGATGGGAGGTGGCCGGTAGAGGCCAGCTGGCAGGGTACCGCCAGGCTGGACCTGGAGGGAGCGGGACCACCACTCCTCAAATAGGGCCAAGGCACCCACAGGAGCCCGTGCGCGTGTCCTGGTGCCCACACACAACCGTGCAGGCCCGAAATACCTGTCAAAGGAGCCGATGCCCTAGGAAACGATGGGACGTCTCCATATGGAAATACATCGAAGCTTTCAAGGTGATCGTGGATCCTTCATGTGGAAGGGGTCCTGGGATACCGTGTGAGGTGCAACGGAGGAAGTTGCCCAAGAGGATGGAGAGTGGTGGTCACGATTTTGTTTTTTAGAAACTGATGTCTGCCTAGAAAGATGTCTGAGAAGGAGACTATCAAGCGTGAACAGCAGCTGCCTGGGAAGTAGAGATGAGAGGGGACACATCCACTTCTGAACCGCCTATCAAAATGATAAATCCACTTTATCATTTGAATTCCTTCCACAGATTCTGTAGTTTGTCATTTAAGTCAGGCGACTTTTTATACCAATTCTGCGTGAAATGAACCAAATAGAACAGCATCATTTCCTCAAGTCTTCAGCTGGGTGGCAGAGAGCAGTTTGGCACAAGCGCCCCCCTCCCCACCCCTCACATCCTGACTCAGTGATTCCCTCCCTGCACAGTAGGGCCCTTGTCTTCTGGTTGCCCTTGATCTAAGGTCTTGCCCTTCCCCTAAGACCTGGGCTGGCCAGGGCCCCACCCCCACCCCCCACCGAGGCCAAGTCCTTGTCCGTGGCTCACTCACTGGGGGCGCCTGTGAGGCTGGATGCCCAGCACCCACCACACCACACCCACACACACGTTAGCTTTACAGGGGTCTGGCCCTCCTGATGGTGGTGGGAGTACAGGGGCAAGCAGGCTTTAGATCTGCACGCCTGCCCCAGGGCCCCCAGGACTGAGGAGCGTGATGTTCTGACCTCCCCTTTCCTTCAGGGTTCCTGCCTTGGATGCATTTGGCACCCGCAGACCTGGCGTCGTCTGCTCGTATGCTTTTGGGCCCTTCAACGTGGAAATGGCTGATCATCGTCGCTTTTTCTTTAATAAGAGTTTCTTCATTTTGTTGGTTTCAGTCACCAATTAACCTTTGTCACTTCCTTCCCCGTCTCTCTGTGCTTCGCTGGACACGGCCCCAGGGGAGTTCTCAGGTGTGTATCTCTGCTGTCTGTTTGCGGACCCTCTTCCCCATGGTGGCATCCAGGTGGAGGGGGTGGCACCCTGGGACACCCCACTGCTGCTGCCCAGTCACCGCCAGCTGTGCAGCCTGTCCCCTCCCAATCCTGGTCCAGGCCACTAAGGCACACGTGCTTTTGCTCACCAGCCTACTGCTGCTCGGAAGCTTTTGGTTTGCTCCACCAGCCCACTGACAGTGACCTTGACAATTGAGGGAGAGCTGCTGTGCCCTTGACCCCTGTCTCTCTCTGTAGGCCATTTCTTAAGGTCCTACAGAGCCGATAGAGGCGGAGGCTAGTTAACTGGACACAGAGTACAGACTCAGTGCTGTGGCATCTCCCCTCTGTTGGGTATACCCTCGAAGTCAGGGGTCCTCTCCCCACGGGGCACATGGGCCAAGCTCCTGCTTTCCTGCTTTCAGCAGAGGCTCTGAGGTCCTGCCCATCCCCGTGCTAATTCCCCACTATGTTCAAGGGCACCCGGGGCCTGGTCACAGCTCTCCCTCATTTGCAGAGACCCCTGTCCTTAGCCCCCACCCCCCACCCCACCACCCCACCACCCCACCACCCCACCACCCCACCAACCCAGGATTTTAGTGTAAAATGTCAGTTGTGTTGCCCTGATCCTCCACCTCACCACCCAAGGTAAACTTTCTGGAAGGAGTAGCTGGCCCCATCCCGTCTCCCGCCCCTCCTGTCCCACTCCTGTGTCCACCCCTAACCCAGCAAGAATTAGCCCTGAAGTCCTCCCGCCTGCTTATCACACGGGCTTAACGCGCTTCTTTTCTCTCCCTTCCTCTCTCCCTCTCCTTCCTCCCGCCCTGGTCGCCCATCTCCCTGGGACTGGGACGGCGCCCATAGTGCGCGATGATTTTTTTGGTAAGGCCGAGGCCCTGTTTCAGTATGTGTTTCCCTGCTTCTGGCTTCCTCTGCCTCCCTGACACCTTCTTATGCTTCATGAGCCATTTGCTTTGTTGAGCCCGGTGGGGCAGCCGTGGGGGCAGTGGTATCCGTGGCTTCAGGGGTGGGGGTGGGGCCTCCAGCAGGCATGGTGAGCAGGCACCTGACTCCCTCAGAGCAGACCCTTGACAGGCTGAGGAGGGGACCCCAGCCTCTCTCAGCCCCCCCCCATTAGTTCAGGAAGGCCTGAGCCCAGTGCCTGCTGCATCCCATCTGAAGGGCAGGCAGGCCACGTTTGAGGCGAGGAGGTGAGAATAGAAACAGCCGGCAGAACCCTAAGCTGGCCACACTGTGTGTGTGGGTCATCTCGTCTCATAGTTGTGTTAAGGCCGTGGAGGAGGGAAGTGAACAAGAGGAACAGACCTTGGGCTTCGAGGCAGTCCTGAAGGATTAGATGTGGTGCTTTGGGGGTTTTGTGACACGCCTGCAGAGACCTCAGTCTGCGGGGCCCACTTTGGGGTCTGGCCATCCCCTCTGGGCACCAGCCCCCGGAGTGCTGTCCTCACCTCCACTCCCACCTTCTGGCTCCTGAAGGCCTGCTCCCAGCCTGGTGGAGGGCTGCACCTGCCATGGACCATCCCATCTCCTTGGCCAGTGCTCTCTGTCCCCATCACCACAGCTCCAACCTCCATTCTCCGAGGGGGCAGCTCTGAAAAGGGTCTGCTTCATGATGGCCTGGAAGTCACAGGGCTGGGGGAAGGCAGTGATACTGGGCCAGGGGTGGGCATTGATTGAGGAGGTTGCACAGAGGCCATAAGGGTACCGTCCAGGCCCTGCTGGTACCCAGACTTCATGTTGGTAGAGAGCTGTGAGAGCCCATCACTGAGTTCCAGAATGTAAGCCCAGGGCTGCTGCATCCATCGGGGCAGAGGAGACCTGCTCATTGCCCTCCAGAGGCCAGTCTGAGACCCCCACGGGGCTCACACGCAGCAGGTCCTTTCCTGACTGCGTTGCTTGGTGGAGTGCCTGCCTCAAGACCGGCAGAGGCCTCTCTTAGGGTCGCCCGGCCTCCCCAGGCAGGCGTCTTCCTGCAGATCGGGCCTCTGTTCCTTATCCCTTCATGTCAGCCCTCCTGGGGGGGGCGGCCATCCTTCCAGGGGTGGGCCGCCCCCCGGCAGGACGTCTGTTATTCTGAGGCAGTTGTGAGCATCAGGGTCTGGCTTCACCAGACACACGTAATAACTCCGTACCTTTTGTTTCAGGAATGGGCAAGGAAGTGGGGAATCTGCTGCTGGAGAACTCACAGCTTCTAGAAACCAAGTAAGGATGTTCTTCCTCAGCACCACAGTTGCTGAGACAGCCCCCAACCAGGACCAGGGGCTCCTGTAACAACTGCGTCGGCCCAGCCTCAGGGCAGTCCCCAGGGAGGACCTGGACCCACTGGACTGAGCTCACCCCTCCTGGGGAGAGGATGGGGTGGTCACCTCCTCTCACCACTTTCAAGACCAGGATGTGTCTGCTCAGATACACCAGGGTGGGCAGACCCCTTTGAAACCCCATCACTTAATGTACACACCGGGTCACAAGGAGCTCCCCTCTTTCTGCCTTTTCAAAGAAACGCTCTGAACGTGGTGAAGAACGACCTCATCGCCAAGGTGGACCAGCTCTCGGGGGAGCAGGAGGTGCTGAAGGGGGACTTGGAAGCCGCCAGGCAGGCCAAACTCAGACTGGAGAACCGCATCAAGGACCTGGAGGAGGAGCTGAGGAGGTGAGCGGGGCTCCTTGAGGGGCGGGGCTCCTTGAGGGGTGGGGCTCCCACGGAGGCTGGGCCACCAGGCGTGGAGAGCAGGGTCAGGCACTGCCCAGGCCCCTCCGGTCCTCTCCGCACCTCTCCGCAATTCCCTGGCACCTGCTCTCTAGCTAAGCACACCCCCTGAGGTCATTCCTTCCCAAAGTGGCTCACTTTGCGTGCTCACTGCTCAGCCTCCTGCTCATCCCTGAGCTACATCTCATATTCAACCCCACCCAGACCCAACTACTGTGTTGGCAACCCACCCCTCCCCTCTGGTCTCCACCATCCTCGGGGGAATAATCCCACACGAGGGACAGTGTACTGTCTTGGGTGTCCTTTTTCTGGCAGCTGAGCGGGGCCTTCCCACTCCTCTCACACTATTACATTCGTTCAGGAGGAGGGAAGGGAGGATAATGGCCTCTGGCCACCGCAGGTCCCCCGCACTCCCCTCTGCTCCCCAGCCCTCAGTCAGCCGAGGTTGGGTCACAGAGCCTTGCTGGGAAGCTCTGGGGTGTCCTCCCCAGCACTCTGCACGTCCCTGTGGCCTTTCTCTTCCAGCCTGATCCTCACCCCATTCTCCCAAAGTGGTGCCTTTGGCTCCAGACAGGAAAGGGGAGGTGTTAGGGGCGGGCCCTAGGCAGGTGGCACCTGTGCCAGGTTTGTGGGACTGGGAGCCAGGTCTCCTCTGGCCCTGCCTGAAGCCAGCACTGCCCTTGCCTTCCCATTAGCAATTGACCACCTGAATTGGAGGTCCTGTTCCTTGGCTGGGCTTCAGGGCACATGTGGGCAGGGGTGTGGAGCCACCCGTCCCCAAGGCACTGGCAGGAATGCTCAGGGCCTAGAACCTGAGGGGAGAGCCCTGAGTGCAGCTGAGAGGTGGGACACATCCTCTGGGCCAGTGCCCAGTGGGGCCCTCACCCTGCCCCGCTTCCTTCCTCATCCTGTAGAGTGAAGTCAGAGGCCATCATTGCCCACCGTGAACCCAAAGAAGAGGTGGAGGATGTAAGCAGCTATCTCTGTACAGAATTGGTATATTCCACTATTAACATGTGGGCATGGGGGGTGGGCAGTGTGGGCGGTCTTCCCGGGGATGTGCTAGTTCTTCTGGGTCTCTGGCTCCTCCTCACCCCTCCTGTGTGATGACTGCACCCAGCAGCAGCTCCACCACCCCACTGCCCCGGTGACTTCGTACGGTCAGAAGCAGCCCCCTCTCTGCGGGATGCCCCCTTACCTAGGTCCTAGCAGATGTGGATTGCGCTGTCACAAGTGGGGTCTCCCTGCTTACCGGCCCAACTGCTGCCCCCCAGACAGAACAGTTTGAGTACCTGAGGCCCTCAGATGCCTCATCTGTCCTCACAAACCCCCGGAGATGCATGGAATGTTCTGAGGAAAGCCCTAGGAGTGGCTGTAGGGAAGGGTTTGTAGGGGTCTTTGCCCTTCCCAGATCCTCTCCAGAATAGGGGCCCCAGCCCAGCGACCTGGCCGCCTTCCTTACAGAGAGAGCAGGCATGGGTCTTTTAAGCCAAGGTGAAGTTTGGACGCTGACCTCACCACTCATCCACTGTTATTTTGGGGGTTGTGGGATGCATGTAACAGGATGCCGATCCCATAGCAGTCACTTGGGAAACTGTAGCTGTTCACCTTGCTCATCCTGTGCAGCCCCTCACCTCCCAATACTAGAGGAAAGAAACAAAGCCGCAGGTGTATTAGGCAGCTGCGGCTCCTCAAGGCCCTCCCACTCGGGCATGGAGGGCACCCGATTGGTGCCTTGACCTCCTGGTGGGGGGCCTGGGGCTGCCGATGCTCCTGTGAACTCCGAGTGCCGGTGGTGGGGGCACGAGGGGAGGGCAGCCCAGCGCAGGGCTGCGTAAGGAGACAGTCCTGCCAGGGACAGCAGATCCCGTGCAGATCCGCCGGTACAAGTGTCCAACTCCGAGGCAGTGACCAGGGTCCTGCTCGCCAGACCTTCCCCAGAACCTTTCTTCCTGCTATGCCACCGTGGGCCAGTCCCACCTGTTAGCATTGACCGGTGGCATTTGGGATTGCCAGGGTGTCTGGGAGCTTGTAGGAAAACACACTGTGTGTGTTGTACCCCTCGAGTGTGTCATGTGACCTTCTGGAAAGAAGGGGGGCCCTTTCGGGGTGGTGGCTCCTGTTCCTGTGCCCACCCCTCCCCACTGCGTTTGCCTGAAGCTCTGTGGGAAAGCGCCCTTGGGTGCGCCCACTCCCGGAGGCGGCCCCTTGCTGGCTGAGCAGCGGCACTCTCCCCGCAGGACAAAATCCCCATGGCGCAGCGCCGCCGCTTCACGCGTGTGGAGATGGCCCGCGTGCTCATGGAGCGCAACCAGTACAAGGAGCGGCTGATGGAGCTGCAGGAGGCCGTGCGGTGGACCGAGATGATCAGGTGGGCCTCCCGGCTCCTGTGGGCTCCAGAAGACATGCTCCCATCTCCATCTGTGAGCTGTGGTCGCTCTAGGAGGTCCTGGGGATGGGATTGAGGCTGACCACCCCTACACCTCCCTCTCTTCCGGGAGAATTAAGGGTGTAGGGTCATCCCTGGTGGAAGCCTGCAGGGGGCCAGCAGAACTGGGCCTCTGGTGCAGCCCTGGCCAGTGGATGTACCTGGTTTGTTGGGGCCAGTGCGCCGGGGTCTCTCTAGGAAGTTACGTGTGACTTGCCTGGGACCCCCTCTTGTCTGATGCTCCAGTCTGTGTGTCCATGGGGAGGGTCCCAAGCAAGGGAGGCAAGAGGGGCCCGGTGAGAGGGGGGCTTGGTTGGACTGGGTGGGCATGGCTGAGTGGGGCCTCTCCCCCTGCCGTCCCCTGTAGAGCATCCCGAGAGCATCCATCTGTCCAGGAGAAGAAGAAGTCCACCATCTGGCAATTGTGAGTTGGGGGCACTGGGAGGGCACTGGCAGTGGTTGCTGGGGAGGTCTCCCCTCAGGCCACCCCTCACCCCCTATGCTTCGGCTGGCAGCTTCAGCCGCCTCTTCAGCTCCTCCTCAAGCCCCCCTCCGGCCAAGCGGTCCTACCCCTCCGTGAACATCCATTACAAGTCACCCACCACGGCCGGCTTCAGTCAGCGCCGCAGCCACGCCATGTGCCAGATCTCCGCCGGCAGCCGGCCCCTGGAGTTCTTCCCAGATGAGTGAGTTTCCCAGGCCTGCCCTGCCCTTCCCCGCTGGCCTGCACAGGGGGAGTCCCTGTGTCCCAGGGCCCCTCCCCTCCAGGCTCTGAAGCAGGACCGGTTTCCACCTTGCTGCTCTGGCGGCTGTGCTCAGGGGATGGGGTCCGTAGTGGGAAGGACACTGACCAGGCATCAGGGGTCACGACCTCTCCGTGCACACCGTGTTTACCCTTCCACCCCCAGTGGGAGCATTGGATGTCCCTCAGCAGAGGCTGTGCTCCCCCACAGTCCCTCCGCTTAGTCCCAGAGGCCTGCGCCTTGCTCCTCGGGTGACCCCTAGCAGGCAGCCCGCAGCCATTTCAGGTGCCACCAGGGCTGTGGGTCCCTGCCAGCTGGCCCAGGGCAACGGCTGGATGTGGCCTCCAAGCCTAGAGCTGGGGAGAGCCCCCTGCCGTCAGATGGGCACCCGGCAGGGACGGTCCAGTTCCAGCAGGGAGAGCTCCGGGGCGGCAGGCGTGCTCCCTGCAGACGCAGTAACCTGCCCTTCCTCTGCCAGCGACTGCACATCCTCTGCAAGGCGGGAGCAGAAGCGTGAGCAGTACCGCCAGGTGCGCGAGCACGTGCGCAATGACGACGGGCGGCTGCAGGCCTGTGGCTGGAGCCTACCAGCCAAGTACAAGCAGGTGCTGGGCGCAGGGCAGCATGGGGGGCGCTGCAGGCAGGGAGCCCCTGGGGAGCCCCGTACGCGCCCAGGGCCCCAAGTCCAAAACCTGGAGGACCGGGTAGTGGACTGCAGCCCCACACATGTGAGCCGGCCAGGCCTGGCGCCCACAGCGCCCCTCTGCCTTGTTCCTGCAGCTGAGTCCCAACGGGGGCCAGGAGGACACCCGCATGAAGAACGTGCCCGTCCCCGTGTACTGCCGCCCTCTGGTGGAGAAGGACCCGACCATGAAGGTGAGCCCTGCGGAAAGCGCGAGGCTGGGAGAGGTCCCGCTGCCCCAGAAGCCCATGAGGCCGGACCTCATGGCCCTGTCCTCACAGCTGTGGTGTGCCGCGGGCGTCAACCTGAGCGGCTGGAAACTGAGTGAGGATGACCCCGGGAATGGAGTCAAGCCTGTGCCAGGCCGCGACCCTCTGACCTGCGACCGGGAAGTAGAAGGAGAGACCAAGAGCAACCATGCGTCCCCCGAGAAGAAGAAGGTCAGAGTGGCAGGCAGGGCCAGGGCCATCTTCTGCTTCTGCCATCCCGATGGCTCTGCTATGACTAGTCTGGGTGGGAGTGACAGAAACGGAGGACAGCTGGGGACAGTGGCGGGAGACTGGGGTGGCCCGGCCCCCTGCCGGTGGGTGGGGCAGCAAGGAGGAGCGGAGGCTCAGGGCAGCCAGGCTGGAGCAGGTCTGTGCCTGCCCAGGAGCCGTGTGAGGGGCTTAGTGCCTGGAGGCTTCACTTTCTGTCCCGGCTCGATGTGGGGGCCAGTGACTTAATCACCGGGAGCTCAGTCTTCCTCTGAGGAAGGGAGGCCATGAGTGCCACGACCTAGGCACAATGTGCAGTTCAGAGTTCTCACCGTCCTGGCGACAAGGGAGGACATTCAGGTCCCCTAAGGCCGCGGGTAAGGCTAGATCCTGAGATTCCAAGATGCCCCCCACTCGCCCCCCATTGCTGCTACAGTAGTGAGCGCTCAGGCACCAGCCCGTCCCTGTGCTCGGAAACAGGCAAAGGAGCTCCCCGAGGCGGACGCCACCTCCAGCCGCGTGTGGATCCTCACCAGCACCCTGACCACCAGCAAAGTGGTGATCATCGATGCCAACCAGCCGGGCACCGTCGTGGACCAGTTCACCGTGTGCAATGCCCACGTCCTATGCATCTCCAGCATCCCTGGTGAGTGCTGGGCCCCTGCTGCTGGCCGGGAGTCAATGCGGAGCGTCCAGGGAGGAGCTGTCTGAGCTCTCTGCTCAGTCCTGTTAATGATGCAGGAGGAGACCCCTGTGACACTCACCCGGTGACAAGGAGATGGGGTGGCATCACAAACAGCCCCTCCCTTCCCCCTGCACCCTCACCGGGACTGGAGCTCTGGGTAGGGTCCTGTCATGGGGGCTTCTCAGCGCGGGGTGACGGGGCTGTGACTCTCCCTCCAGCGGCCAGCGATGGTGACTACCCTCCGGGGGAGATCTTCCTGGACAGCGACGTGAACCCTGAGGACTCTAGTGCAGACGGCGTGCTGGCCGGCATCACCCTGGTGGGCTGTGCCACCCGCTGCAACGTGCCGCGCAGCAACTGCTCCTCCCGTGGGGACACCCCAGTGCTGGACAAGGGCCAGGGTGAGTCCTGGGCCTGAGCCCTGGCGGCCGTCTTCTCTCACCCAGCCAAGCTCACCCCTCCCTTCCACAGGGGAGGTGGCTGCTGTCGCCAATGGGAAGGTCAACCCATCTCAGTCCACGGAGGAGGCCACGGAGGCCATGGAGGTGCCAGACTCTGGGCCCAGTGAGGCAGAGGCAGCTGCGGTGCGGCCTGGGCCCCTCACAGAGCACGTCTTCACCGACCCGGCCCCTGCCCCACCCACCAGCACCCAGCCTGACAGGTGGGCTCTCTCAGGATGGGGCAGCAGGGGAGGAGGGGGGCGGGGACTGGCAGAGGTGGGCAGGGACGGGCTTCCGTGGGCTGCCCTGGAGCCGCCATCCTCCCTGCAGTGAGAACGGGCTGGAGACGGACGTGAGCGGTGTGCAGCCTGAGCCGGAGCCCAGTGGGGACGCCGCAGGGGCCAGCAGCAGTGCTGCACCCACCATGTGGCTGGGAGCCCAGAATGGCTGGTAGGCTGGGCCTTGGGGGCCGGGGTGGAGAGGGTCCCCTGGGCGAGCCCCCACCCACCGTGCCTCCTCCCGCAGGCTCTACGTGCACTCGGCTGTGGCCAACTGGAAGAAGTGTCTGCACTCCATCAAGCTGAAGGACTCCGTGCTGAGCCTGGTGTGCGTAACCCCCGCCGGGGGCCGGGGTCGGGAGGGCCGAGGGCAGCCGGCCTGAGCCTGGCTCACCACCTTCCCATTGCAGGCACGTAAAAGGGCGAGTGCTGGTGGCTCTGGCCGATGGGACCCTGGCCATCTTCCACCGAGGTGAAGGTGAGGCCTGGCACGGTGGGTGGGGGAGCAGCATCTGACGTCCAGGCAGGGCGTGAACCACCCGCACCGTGAGCAGAGGTGGCCTGGCCAGGCCTGAGCAGGGGTCGCGGGCTCTCTACAGACAGCCAGTGGGACCTGAGCAACTATCACCTGATGGACCTGGGCCACCCACACCACTCCATCCGCTGCATGGCCGTCGTGTATGACCGCGTCTGGTGCGGCTACAAGAACAAGGTGCATGTCATCCAGCCCAAGACGATGCAGATTGAGGCAAGTGCAGGCTGGGGCTTCCACACACCTTCTAATGGACTCTGGTGGGGGCTTCGTGGGGTCAAAGGAAATGCACTTAGGGAAGTGACTGGTTCATCCAAGGTCACGGGCCAACAAAGGGCAGCTGGGCTGTGAATGCCTGTCTTTCTGGAGCCCACCTGCTGCTTCTCTCTGAAACAAGCAGATCGGTGTCTGAATGGGCTCCCCCGCACCTCCCTCAGGCACTGCTGTGGGGTGGGGCTGGGGTGCTGGGGCTCCTCCTAGGAGCCAGGACCCAAGGGAGCAAAGAGGCCCTAGAAAGGTACCCATGAGCTGCTTCAGGGACTCTTGGCCATGGCAGCTTCAGGGCCCCCCACCCCATTGACGGGCTGCCCTGACCCCACAGAAGTCGTTCGACGCCCACCCACGGCGGGAGAGCCAGGTACGGCAACTGGCGTGGATTGGTGACGGGGTGTGGGTGTCCATCCGCCTGGACTCCACGCTGCGGCTCTACCACGCCCACACCCACCAGCACCTGCAGGACGTGGATATTGAGCCCTACGTCAGCAAGATGCTGGGTGAGGGGCCACCCCAGCCAGGCATGTGGGGGCAGGGAGGGTCCCCCGAGCCCTCCCCGCTGACCCGCCTCCCCCCACCCCCAGGGACAGGCAAGCTGGGCTTCTCCTTCGTGCGCATCACAGCCCTGCTCATCGCAGGCAACCGCCTCTGGGTGGGCACCGGCAACGGAGTTGTCATCTCCATCCCGCTGACTGAAAGTGAGTGACCCACAGACACCTGTAGAGGTGGCCTGGCTGCCACTCACAGGCGCCCGTCAGGGTCCCAGGGGCAGGTGCGCTCTGCCAGGACAGAGGAGGACGCGGGCTGCCCTAGCCACAGCCCTCCTCAGCCAGTCCCTCCTGTGACTTCTCTCCTCTCTCTTCCATGCTCCGCCCCTCACCTCCCCCAGCTGTGGTCCTGCACCGAGGCCAGCTCCTGGGGCTCCGAGGTAAGTCCAGAGCGCCTGCCTCCTGCTCTCAGAAGGAAGCCCCCCACTGTGGACACCCTGGGGGCTGAGGCTGCCCTTGCCCCTCGGACTGGCTCTGGCACCAGGCAGGCCCCACCCTCTGCCCTCGGCTGCTGGAAAACTGGTCCTCCCAGTCAGCAGGTTCAGCCCCTCCGGGACCCTCTCTCTCCAGCCAACAAGTCGTCCCCCACATCTGGGGAGGGGGCCCGCCCAGGAGGCATCATCCACGTGTACGGAGACGACAGCAGTGACAAGTCAGCCAGCAGCTTCATCCCTTACTGCTCCATGGCCCAGGCTCAGCTCTGCTTCCACGGGCACCGTGACGCTGTCAAATTCTTTGTCTCCGTGCCAGGTGAGGGGCCGGGCCCCACTCCCCGCAGGGCTGCAGCCGCGGCCTCCCTTCAGGAGCCTGGGGGGGGGGGGGGCGCTCTGGCTGCCCCGCTGAGGTCCCTGTGCCCCGATGACAGGGAACGTGTTGGCCACTCTGAACGGCAGCGTGCTCGACAGCCCCTCCGAGAGCCCCGGGCCCACTGCCCCCACCACAGACACCGAGGCCCAGAAGCTGAAGAACGTGCTGGTGCTTAGCGGCGGGGAGGGCTACATTGACTTCCGCATCGGTAAGTGGGTGCCGCTAGGGCCCCAGGTGTCCCCGGACAGGGGTGGCCCCTTCATGGCAGCTGTGCTCTCTCCAGGCGACGGAGAAGACGATGAGCCTGAGGAGGGTGCAGGGGACATGAGCCAAGTGAAGCCCCTGCTGTCCAAGGCCGAGCGCAGCCACATCATCGTGTGGCAGGTGTCCTACACCCCCGAGTGAGGCTGCGGCCTGCCGCCACCCCGCCCCGCCTGATGCCATCTGCCACATGTACATACAGCCCCACCCACCTGCCCACCACCCACCCAGGGGGCAGCCTGCCCGCAGGCAGCCAGGTGCCCGTCCACCCCACTTCTAGCCTCTCAACCTGCAGCTTTCACCTTCGGTCCGGGCCTCCCCATGAGCTGGCAGAGAGCATAGGGTCTGGCTGGGAGCGGGTAGTGGGGTGGCATCCTGATCAGGGAGGGGCAGAGCCTCTCGGGACACCCTCTCCCCAGCAGCTCCTGGCTGGCACCCAGCCCAAAGCCCTCCAGGCCCGAGGGCACTTCAGGGCCAGAGCGAGGCAGAACCCCAGGGTGGGTCGGGCCAGGGAAGCCCCTACAGGTGGCTCCGAGCTCCACCCTGGGCTCCCCACTCCAGTCACTCATTCCCAGGATCTCTCCAGGGAGTCGAGCAGGGACTTCACCGCGCTAAGTCTTCCCACCCTGAGTCCACTTGCCTTTGGCTGCTGCCCATGGGAGTGGGGATCCAACCCTCAGGGAGTTGGCCCAGTTGCTAGCCTTCCCTGGGCTCCCCCTCCCCCATCCCTACCGCCCTGGGAACTGGCATGAAAGCATGTAACCAGGCTCCCTGGGGCAGCTGCCTGAGAAGACAGACACACACCCTCATCCCGCTCAAGCCCCATGATCGTCCTGTGTGGCGGACTCTCACTGGCCCTCACTGACCTGTGTCCTCCCCGACCCTGCTAACTCTCCCTGGGTGAACACCCACCTTGTAGGAGCAGGCCCCTTGAGTCCCACCCCTCCCGGAAGCCCCTAGGGTGGTATTTCTCAGGCTGTCAGGGCAGGCCCAAGCCTCAGGAAGAAGGGGAGGCCCCTGGTCTCTCCCGGGGTCAGTCCTTGGATGTAGGCTCAGCCTCAGGGTGATGGGGAAAGGTGTGCTCCAGGGCCTGCCTCCTGTGCAGTCTCCAAGGAGCCCAGCTCCCAAGACACGCTACTAAGTGCCTAGGGATAAGCGGTGTGGCCTGCTCCCTTGAGGGCGTCTGATGATAGGCCACCGAGCAGAGGCCCAAGGGTTAAGGACAGGAGCCGCCTCCAGCCGGCTCTCGGCGATGGCGCGTGCCTGCTTTGAGGGGCACCGCCCTGGACTGCCAACTCCCCCACCTGCCCAGGCCTTATTCCTGTTCCTCGAGGCACCGATCAGGGCAGCCCCAGGCACTGCTGCCCACCCACCTCCCACCAGAGAAGCACAGATCTTGGGCAGCCATCCCACGAGCCCAGCTGGCCACCGCTGCAGCCACCAGCAGCTGCAGGCTTCTCCCCACCACCCTGTCACTCTCCACTGTGATGTACGTCAAGTCCCTTGTCTGTCCTCACAGGGCCTGAAGTGACTCGGGGGTTAGCTGGGTGGGTGCAACTGGGTGACACAATTCTCCTCAGGCTTTGGCCCTGCAAGTGAACCTACATATCTGCTCTGTAAGTAATAAATGTCTTAACATCATGCTTCTGTGTCCCTGAGCCCAAACCAACTCGAGCACAAAAGTTTTCCTCAATTTATTATAAAAAGAAGTACTGGGACAAGCAAAGTACTACGGTGGCACCCTGCCGCATTCCAGATGTGCTGTAAACAGGCGCAGGCCGGGCTGGGCCTCCTGAGAACCTCAGCCAGGACAGGAAGGCCTGTAGCAACCAGAGCTCCGCAGGTGTGCACCACCTGCCCTCCTGTGCCCCCTGCCACAGGAAGGGTATTCTGAGCTCCTAGGGGTTGGGTCCACACGTGTGCACACCTCCGGGGCCTGGAGGATGCGGAATCACCCACAGCCCACTGCAGACGGGCACATCTGCCCGACCGGCTACTCGTACAGCCAGTGCCCGGCGCTGTCCTCCCAGCACAGAAGCTCGTCTGCTCGGAACCAGAGCGCTATCTCGCGGCGGGCGCTCTCCACCGAGTCGCTGCCGTGAATCACGTTCCTGTGCAGGAGAGGCGCGGGTGAGCGCAGGCCCGAAGCAGAGCTCGGGCAGAGAGCCCCGCACAGCCCGGTTCGGGGAGTTGGAACCGGCCTTACTTGCCGACCTCGATGCAGAAATCGCCACGGATGGTACCGGGCGTGGCGTCGGCCGGGTTCGTGGCCCCGATGAGCGCCCGCGAAGCGCGCACAACGTCCAGACCCTGCCACACCTGCAGACGGGGTCCGGGGTCAGCACGGGGTCAGCGCGCCGCCCTCCCGCCAGCCAGCACTCACCATGGCCACCACCGGCCCGGAGCCCATGTACTTGACCAGGCGCCCGTAGAAAGGGCGCTCACGCAGCTCGGCGTAGTGCTGGCGCAGCAGCTCCTCCGAGGCCTGGGGAGGGAGGGGGGGAAGGGACGCGTGCTCCTGGGACCCCCATCCCCCACGCGCGGGGACCCCGTCTCCCCCTGCACCCCACCCCGCCGCGCTCCCCACGCCCGGGGACCTCTCCCCAACACCCCCGTCCCGCTCCCCACGCCTGGGGACCCCGGCCCTCACCAGCACCAGCTTCAGCGCCACCAGCTTGAAGCCCTTCCTCTCGAAGCGCCGAACGATCTCGCCCACGAGCCGCCGCTGCACGCCGTCAGGCTTCACGGCCAGGAAGGTGCGCTCGTGCACGCCGGCGTACGCTGTGGGAACCGCCGGAGTAGGGGCGCATCAGACCCGGCCGCACCCCCTACCCGCCCCGCCCGGCCCGCGCCGCTCACCCGCCGGGAAGAGGTTGGCGAAGATGGTCAGCACCAGGCAGATCATGATGGCGGCAACGGGGCTCGGGTGGCTCGAGGGCCGGGGCGGGGGAGACGCGCGGGCCGGGGCGGGGCCTGTGCTTAAAGCCGCCTGGTCGCCGGGCGCCGCCACCTCGGCGGACGCGGAGAGGGGGTGCCTGTCGTTCACGCCGACGCCGGGACCTCTGCGGCCGCGCCTGTGACTCCCGAATCCCCTCGGGTCTCCCCACCACCTGGCGCCTGCGCGGAACTCCTCTCACCACCCGGCCGTAAGCAGCAGTGTCAGCCTGCTCCTCCCCCACAGCCCTGTCAACAGCCCGCTTTGGTACCCCAAACTCAAAGAAGTCACAACCCAGGGCTGCTTCACGTGCCTTTATTCGCGTTCAGTTTCTACCTGGGTCCCGGCAGAGGCAACAGGTCATAGGGAGGGAAGCCAGCGTGGAAGTGACAGGAGCCAGCAGCGGGGCTCCAAACCTGCGGGCCCTGCTGCTTCCGGCTTTCCCCCAGCAGCCACCTCCTAAGAGGCCCCCTCAGTCAGATCTGCGTGTTGGGGCAGCAGGGACAGAGGAAAGACACAAGGTGCAAGGTCTGACCCCACCCTTTTCCAAGAAAATGTAGAACCTCAACAAGTCACGGGGAGGTAGGATCCAAGCTCCCAGGGGGCTGATTCAGGTGTAACCGAAAATGGTGGCCACTGCCTTGCACCCTTGCGGCAGCCTGCCCGCTCTGGCATTTTAGACTGCAGTGCCCTTGGTCTTTCTCTTCGACTCCTGGTTCTCAGGATAGTCCCAGGGATCAATGCGTATCCTCTTCAGATTGAGCATGGGCTCCTCCGTGCTGGTGTCTCCATTTCTCTGTCGCTCTGCTAGAATCATTGCGCGGAGGAGCGGCGGGTAGGGCACAGTGCCCAGAGTGTCCTCCGGCGCCGGCGTGAAAGCGGTGAAGGCCTCCTCCTCGTGTTTGGGCACCAGCCGCCAGTCGTGGTACATGACCTGTTCTATCTCCCGAGCCTCACTCTCCGTCTTTCCTGGGGAAAGAAGAACGAGGCTTCTTGCACACACGTTGACGGAACAATCTGTTGCCGGCAGCCTCCCCACCGGGTTTGGACGCCTTACCTTTGAAGGTCAGGACGCCCCAGGCCTTCCCGTGGTCCAAGTTCTGCAAAGCAAGTGGGGAGGAGATCAGCTCAGAAAGCTCGCTTGCCCAGGGATCGGGCGACAGGATATCCCGTCCCACAAAGTCGCGCGCAGGGCAGACAGTGGTGCCCCGCGGTGCCGGGAGCTGAGGGGTGGGCACCGTGCACGCACCTGCGCCGTGTAGTCGGGCCGGACCCGCGTGAGGCGCCAGTAGCACGGCTCGTCGTGCTGCCACAGCCAGGACTTGCGCGTGACAAGGCGGCCCAGGCCGAAGAGCGGGAGGCGGCCAAGCAACTGCAGGAGGCGGCTCTCGCGGCGCACATCGGCCCAGGCTCGCGCGGGCAGCTTGCGGCCCGACTGCGGCCGCGTCAGCGTCTCGTAGTCCAGGGCGTAGCGCTCCGAATCGCGCGGCCGCTCCCGCTGCTCGCGCAGGGCCCGCACGCGGCGGGCCAGCTCGGCGATCAGCCGCGGCCGCACCTTTTTCCGCGCCATGGCCGGGCAGCCTCCGCGCTCCGGCCGGAAGATGCCACCGCGCGCCGCGGGGCGCGCCCGACGCCGGAAGCGGCGGGTGTCCCCCGCAAAGGCGTCCGGGCGCTGCCGGAAGGGGAGAAGAGGCCGGGCGGGCCGTGGCGAGGGCTGGGTCTGGGAGGGCTGGAGGCTCGCGCCGGGGCCGGGGATAGCTGCAGCCCCCGACCTGGGAGATGTCGGACTCGGACATCGAGGGCCCCGCGGGCGAGGAGGCCGCCGCCAGGGTTCGAGACCCGGCGGAAGAGCGCAGGGCGGCGGCCGAGGTGCTGCGGCAGCTGCGGCCCGAGCAAGACGTGCGGCGCCTGGCGGTGCTCGTGGACCCAGGTGCGGGCGGGCGCGGGCAGCGGCCCGGGATGGGGAGCTCGGCCTTGAGGAGCTTGTTTATCTGCGCTCTGGGAGCCGGACGGGAATCAGTTGTTGCACGCTGTGCAGGCTGTGGGGCTGCTGTCCCCACCCAAGTAGTGTCCTGTCGTGGGGGAAAGAAGGAGTGACAGCTGACTGTCCCTCTGTCCCATCCAGCCATTCTGGAAGATGCCGGTGCCGACATCCTGATGGAGGCTCTGGACGCCCTGAGCTGTGAGTACCGCGTGGAGCCCGAACGCCCTGCATGGAGCCTCAGGTGGAGCAGAGTGAAGCCAGACCCTTGCTCCCTCAGTGTGAGTGTCCTGGGTTTACGGAATGCAGCCCTGGGTTGGGTGTTTTATGTGACAAAGCTCTTTTGAGAGGCAGCTGCAGCAATTGTGCACGTTTTACATACCAGTAAACTGAGAACGGGGAACGCTGAGTGAGTGATGCACAGGCCACTTTTGGTAAGTTGCGGGCTGGGAGCCAGAGCCTGAACGCAGCTGCTGCTGATTGATGCTCCATCCCATCCAGGCTGTGGCCACAGGTGTTGCTGCCTGGCAGACCTGCGCTGCTTTTAGTCTCAGTAGAAGGTGGGACGCTGGGTTTCTGTAGAGCAGTCCGGGAAGAACCTGCGCAAGCCTCAGGACTCCTGGGGTGCCCAGGCCATGGCCCGGGGTGCACGAGGCCACGGGTGGGCAACAGTGCCGTGTATGTTCCCACAGGTGCCTCCTGAGGTGTGGGCTGCGGATGAGCAGGACTGGCTGCTGCTGCTGGAGCCTGAGGAGTTTCTGCAGGGCGTTGTCCAGCTGACCCAGGTGCGGGAGGGAGGGAGGAAGGAGTAATCCCTGACCACAGATCGTGAGGGGCTGGGTTCCCTATTTTGGATGTTGTGGGTGAGATGGGGGAAGCCAGCCGGGCTCTTGGCCTGGGAGCAGGTGGGAGCCACGGCTGCTTCTTGAGGGTAGAAGCCAGGATAAGGAGGGTTCTCTTGAGAACTGAGTCAGAAGTCAGGTGGTAAACTGCTGAGAGGGGGCCTGGGGACTAGGGCTGCAGGCTGGCTGTGCAGTCCACCTTGTGACACCCAACCGCTCAGCTGCCGCCTGGCGGGAGAAATAGGGATTGCTCAGCTGATGTTTGCACCACAGTGTCATTAGGTTAGACCCTCTGCCAGGTCCCAGAGTTCAAGGTTCTCCGTTTATCAAGCACCTGTGTGTGTCAAGCCAATGCCAGGCTGGGGTGCAGAGGTGGACCAGGAATGGGGAGGAGGTTGAGTCCAACTCTTCTAGGAGCCTGGAGTGTGCCCGGGTTCTTTCACAGATCTTCTTGATCATGTGGAAGGCACAGAGCTGGTTTTCTAGAGAGCTGGTTGGGCAGAGGAGTCCACCCCTGTTTCCTCCCAGCACCGCGGGGTTGTTCTTGGGCTCACTCCCCTGCTTCCTGCAAACTGGTGGTGGCCGGTGGGCCCCGCCTGCCGCAGCCCCCGAGGAACAGGTATGGTAAACCTTCTTGGTTTGCAGACATGTGGCCCAACCTGTTCTGTGCCCTGGATCAGTCCTGAGAGCCCTGCCTGCCTCCACCTGGCTGTCATTGGGCTGATGTTTACCTGTGGTACCGGTCACCCTAACACCCTTAGCCAGCCTGCCTGGGATGGGAGAGTTCGGGCGAAAGGCAGGGGTGGCCCTGGGGGCTGGTGTCACAGCTAACCCTCTCTCTTGGGTGGGCTCTGGGGGCAGGAGGAGAACTCATGGAGGGTAGGGAGCCAGAGGGACGGTCACCTCTGCATAGGTCTTACCAGTCCAGTACCCAGGAGACATGGCAGCCAGAGCGTCTAGTGGTGACTCGTGCCTAGGTAGCAGTTGGCTGGCCCGAGGTGGAGGAGGTGAGGACAGTTGGGTTGGGCCAGATGGTTGGCATGGGCTCTGGCCCTTGGGCTGCTCTCCGAGACCCAGCAGGGGCTGGTTTGGCACGGGGGGGGCGGGGGCACGTGGGGTTGGCCTCAGCTGGGTGTCCCCCATGGGAACCCTCTGACCCACACCCACAGGCTCATCTCCTTCTCAGGCCCTGGTGCTTCTGCAGCTCTGGGCAAACATGGATGTGCTGTTGGTGGCCTCCTGGCAGGAGCTGAGTCAGCATGTGTGTGCCTTCACCAAGGCCCTCACCCAGCGTCCCTTCAAGTGTGTGACCCTCACCCTGATGGGGGCTGCAGTGGGAGGGATGGGAGTGCCGGGCGGGGTGGCAGTGCTGGGTGGGGTGGCACCTCTCTGGCCTCTAGAGCAGAGGGGGCTGCGGGTTTTGTTGAGCTGGGGGCGGGGCGCTCAGTAGAGGTGATGAAGAATCTAGGCACTTCCCTGCATCCTCCCCTTCCCAGGCAGTCCCGGGAGTCTGGGGCCTTTTCCTTCTGCACCACCGCGTGCTGGGCAGCAGCCGAGAAGAGTGGCAAGAGATGGCACCGGCCTGCGGGGGCCTGGTGGCAGCAGATCAGGCAGTTCAACTGTGTCAGCCCGGCTGTGGCCAATGCTGTTGTTGCTGCCTTCCCTTCCCCCTGCCTTCTGCAACAGGTGGGCCCCCGCCCCCCAACCAGACTCCCAGATATGGAGGCCAGGTCCCCCGAGGCCTGCCCCACCCATCCCCATGCCCACCCTAGGTGTGCGTGGCCTGTGGCATGGAGCAGGGGCGCCTAGCCCTCCTGGCTGACCTCCCTGTGAGGATGGGCAAGGGTGTGCGGCCCCATAGGTTGGGACCTGACTTCTCCCGCTGCATCTGCCTCTTCCTGACGACCACCATCCCTGACCTCCCGCTGGACCTGGGCTCCTGACCACGCCTGTGGTACCCGACGGGCCCTTCTCCCACCTACCGGCAGGACTGAATGCAGCCCGCCCAGGGAACAGACTAGAAACCACGAGCGGTGGTGTGCGGGAGCAAGACACCCAGTATGACCTGCATCGGGGCTCTCAGGCAGGTCTGACCCCAAGATGGGGGCGCAGGAGGGGCAGCAGAGAAAGTTCTTGTGTAACTGGGATGGGCAGAAGAGGAAATTCTTTCTCTCCAGGAGATGCCAAGCCAGCTGGAAGGTCTGGAGAAGATGTGGGCAGGGCTCATATGCCCTGGGCCCTGTACACACTGGCAGAGGGGCTGCTAGCCAGCTATGACAGGCAGGAAGGGCTGGGCAGCCTCAGGGCCCCACAGGGCAAATGCCGGTCACTTGGAGGCTGCGGGGGCGGGGGAGGCAGGCCCCTTCAGAAAGGAGAAGTATTAAGACAAGGTCTTGAGGGAGAAAAGAGAACTAGGCCGTGACTCCTCAAGGGTGTTGTGACCCCCCCACCCCGCAACAGGAGAAAAGCTGTGGACACCTGTGAGCCCTAGCCCTCAGTCCGACCCCTTTCGTTCCATAGGTATGTAAGCATCAGACATAAACTCTAAGTTTATTACGGTCGTTTTCAGCCTCAGACGAGAGGAACAGCAGCTGACAACATGCAAAGCAAGTTAAGAAAAACCCAAGGCCGGCGGCGACAGCAGGAAGAGCCGACCTCTCACGAAGCCGTCCTCCTCATAGGCAGCAGACCAGCCTCCCAGGCCTGCAGCCCGAGTCCAGACATGCTGGGGCAGCAGCTCTCCAGAGACTCTGAGAAGGAAAGTGGCTGCTCCCACACCCGGCACAGGAAGCAGACAGACTAGGAAGTCCGGGTCTCTGGATCACAGGGATAATGGCCCCGGAGCCCTGTAGCAAGGCCTCTCCCAGCCTTGGGTGGCAGGGGGGTAGCCGAGACAAACCTTGGTTCAGTCCTCCCTCTCCTGTTGTCCTGGGGGTGGTCCAAAGGGAGAAACAGAGAAAACGCCATCCCAGCTGTAGAAGGCAGTTTTCACTAGGTCCTTCGGCAGCGCTTCCTCTGGCAGCGCCGGGTCTCAGGGCTGCTGGGATTGGCCATGGGCGAGGGTGTGGGGGGCTTGCGGTGGCCACAGCTCATGCTCAGGACCCAGCCCAGCTTGTGGTGCAGCACCTGCTTGAGGCCGGGCGGCAGAGGCAGGCCCTCGAGCGTGTCCCCAGAGTCAGGCCGCAGCTGGCGCAGGCGGTAGCAGCACAGGTATTGCAGGGAGGTGATGCTGGCACAGGAGCGGATCACCTTCATGCTGCTCTTGGCCGCCGTGGAGCACACCATTGGGTAGAACCTCTTGTTCTGCAGCTTGGTGGCTGCCACTCCTGGGGGTGGGGAGGTGGCACAGCCTGAACCCTAAGCTCAGGCTCTCCTAAGGGGACGAAGGATGCTGGGATTTCCACCTACCCCCCGGCCTTGCCCGGTTCTGGGGACCCTGAGACCTCAGGGATGCAAGGATGGCCTTTCAGGGCCCTCAACCTCACCAGGAGCTCAGTGGCAGCCACACTCTGCGGGCACGTGTCAGAGTCACCTCCTCACCTATGCACTTCCTGTTCTTAAAAAAGGTCAGCGTCCCATGCCAGGTGTCCAGGTGCACGCCAATGATGGAGCCCTGGCCGAACCGGGAGGAGAAGCTCGTCTTGTCGCCCTTGTGGTGGAGGAGGCCTGGGGGCAGCAGGGTCGGGGTGAGCCCTGCAGCCTCGGGGCCCCCCAGCCCTGCCCATCCTGGGGGCCCCACGCACCCGTGTAGGAGAGGCCCCAGCTGTCCTCGTCCCGGCCGAGCAGGCTGCAGAACGTGTGGTGGTACTTGTCCAGGTCCACGTCCGATGTCCCGATGCCCACCATCTGGAAACGGCAGAACTGGCAGAGGGGGCTGGGGACCAAGGTGCCCGGCACCCCTCCCCCAACCCTGCCGGCCACTTACCATGTCAGTGCCATAGACGGGCGAGGTCATCTTGATCTCCCAGAAGTGCTGGCCCTCCCCCAGCTCCTTGGTACCCCGGATGGCCGCTGTGCCACAGCTGTACTCCATGTGGAAGTTGACCTTCCGGTTGTCACAGCTCAGCAGGGTGGCCGAGGACTTATTCAGGTCATCCCAGACCCAGTCAAAATCTGTGAGAGAAGAGGCCCAGGCTCGCCAGGCTCCCACCCAGCCCAGAGGTCCGCCCACCCGCCGCAGGCCCCCACACTCACACTCGTCCTCCTCCCCGCAGCGGCAGTCCCTGCCCCGGTGGGCGGCGTGCAGACTGCCGCAGAAGGCCTCGCTCTGACTGTCACAGTCGCAGAAGGACTCCCCAGTCACAGGCACGGCGCTGGGGATGGATGACGGCAGAGATGCATACTCGGGGTCGGAATCTGAGTCGCTGTGCTGAGGGGAAAGGGCCAGCTGTTCCCGCCTCCTGCCCTCCGCCGGCCCAACCGACCCCTTCCCCCACCTGCCCTGCCACCCACCCCAGGCCCACGGGTGAACGGCCGGACGCCCCAAGGAAGGGATCTGGGGCTTTGGCCTCAAAGGGCCTCCTCAGGTCTCAAGGGCTCAGCCAGCGAGGCACAGTGACGCTGGACACCCCTTCTGGCTCAGGAGCTGCAAGGGGGCCTCCTTGCCAAAGGCCTACCACGCTGGTGGCTTCCTGGGAGTGGAGTAGAGGGCCCCGGAGGCCTAGCCACTAATAAGCCCCAAGACAGGGCTGCATGCTTAGCCATCATCGTTGTCCAGAGAACATCTAGACTGTGATAAACGGGAGCATGACAGCAAAGTCCGTTGCTGACCTAATGAAGGCACCTGGTCTCCCCGTGGCAGCAGCTGGGCTCCAGGGGGGCCGATGGCCATGGCAGGGCCTGCGTACCTGTCTCAGGCCATGGCCCCCTTGTCCGTGCAAGGGTGGGCTCTCAACCCCCATCACAGGACCCTGAGGAGCAAGCCCCATGGTCTCAGGCTGCGTCAGGAAAACATTCAGTTGGGCCTTGGCCCTCTGCGTGTGGCTCTCAGTCCTCACAGAATGGACTCCAAGCCTTGAGGGCCTGATCTTGGCCCAGGGGCCAGACGCTAAAGCTGAGCTGGTCTGGTTCCGGGAACCAGCTGACCCACAGACCCTCCAGGAGGCCAGTTAGGGTGCCTCTGTACACCTTGTTGTTCCTGTTCTGGAGCCACGTGGGCCCCTCAAGACACCCACCCAGGCTCTGATATCTGGCCGACCAGTGACGGCCTGGAGTCTCAGGCCCCAGGGGTGCAGGCAGCCTCTGCATGCCTGCTCTCTGAGCCCTCCCAGCTTCACCTGGGGTCCTGGTGGGGCTCTGGCCTCCACCCTCACTCTCTTGGCATCTGGGTGCTGCTCTGGGCCCCCCGGAAATGCCCTCTGCACAGTGGTCTGGGTGACCTGTTCAGACCTGGGAATCCTGCTGCCCTGAGAACAAAGCCCACAGACTTACTCTCATCAGAGAATATAAGACCCCCTCCTTGCCCAGCCTCCTCCTCTGCCCTGTCCACCCCTGTCCCCATGGGGCAGGAGTGGGGGTCTGTTTGCCCCGGGATGGCTTTTGGATACCACTTCAAAGAGGCTCTTTCAGCCTCTCATGCTGCATCCTCTTCCTTCTCCTCTTCCTTTCTTGTAGGCTTCCCTGACGCTCTCCTGGGTCCTGCTCACCTGCCTCCTCCCACCGGAACTGAGTTCCTTTGTTATTACACTCAGCCCCAAGTGCCACACAGGAGCTCTGGGAACCGATGGCAGACACAGCTCAGGGAGCGAGGAGGCTGAGCCCCAGTTGGAGACAGACGCCAGCAAGGACACTGGCAGCAGGCCCAAAGCACCCCGCTCTCGGGGAAGAGCGATCCCCCACAAGCCAAGGCAGGCCCACTGCTGCCAGAGGAGACAATCCCTTCCCACTGAGTCAGGAGCCAGGGGCACAGACCTGAGCACTGCTGGCCCCGGGGGTCATACTGCTTGGCACCCAGCACACAACCCCCTGTGCAGAGGGCAGACCTGGCCCCACCGCAAGCTATAAGGAGAGCTTAGAGCAGCGGAGACAGGGACATGTGTGTTCGGCCTTCAAAGGTGCTGGGGTGACACGCTCTCTCCATCCACACGTGCACACAAGTACTCCGGGCCCATTAGGTGACCGGATGAGCCACAGGTGTGTATCAGACACCGCACCCCCAGCCCCTGGACGCCTCCCACATCCCACAGCAATGAGCCAGAGAGGCAGAGACAGACAGGAGAAAAGACTGCTCCAGGCCACGTGGTCAGTGGAAGCTGGAGGCGGGACAGGAATGCAGGCCGAGGCCTATTGCTGGCCCAGGCAGGGAGCTAAGGGAGGCCCCAGGAAGGGGACCCAGGATGTCGCCTCCAATTCTGCCCCAAGCCCTGGTGCTTCCACGGGACTCAGCTGCCCTCACTGAGGGCTGGGGAGGATAGGCACCTGTCCCCACCCAGACACCTGGCTGAGCCAGGGCACCCAGGCAGGGTGGCTGTGACAGAGCAGAACCAAGTCACCCGAAGATCACCCTGAAAACAACAGAGGTGACTCAGGGCAAAGCCAAAGCCCAGCTCTGGTCTGAGAGGTTCAGGAAACTGACTTGTGAAGCCCTCCCCACATGCCCCCCACGGCAGGCACAGAGGCCACACAGCCCCACCACCCCACCCCTGTGGCGGGAGTCAGTGTGGTGAGGCTCTGGTTGCAAACCCCTCAGGTCCATCAGGAACCTCCACTGCAGACAGACAGCTGAGCCGCCCTCCTCACGGCCTCTGTATTCCTGGGCCTTGCAGAGCTCAGGGTCCTGAGCACAGGAAGGCTCAGGAATGTTGGTCTTTAAAGATAAAAATTCTTTTTTTAGATGCATATACACAAACGTTGAGTACAGACTTCAACAGGCAGAGAAAACGTCCAGAAGGTTGCACACAGAGGTAACAACAGCTACCCTTGAAAAGCGGTTGGGTAAATGGAATGGAGAAGTTTTCGTTAAATGAACTGACCAAAGTACCCACTGACACCCTCTTCAAAGAAAAAAGTCTACAGAGGAACGTACTATATGCCTTGAGGTCCTGCTACCCAGGGCCACGTGTGTCCTTAACCAGTGTGAAGAGCCTAGGGGAGCAGAAGCAGAGTGCACGCAGGGGACGGTCCGACAAGGCTGGCCCTGTTTTCTGCCCTCAGAGGCATCTTTCTCTTCAGTCTCAGTTCAAGCAATATTTAGTCCAGCCATGCCCACCTCACCCACTGGAACCTACCTGCCCATCAGAGTCGTAGCCCCAGTTGGTGGACCCTGCCAGAGCCACGGCCCGGGCATCCGCATCTCGGCGAGCTGCACTCAGGACAAAATGCCACGCTCTGCTGCTCCGTGGGCGCCTGGCCATGGTGGGCAGGATCTGGAAGAAAGCACAAGGTCTGAGCAAAGAAAGACATATGACACACCGGTAGGTCCCCCAGCACCCCCTGCACTTGGCCCCCCAGGCTGTGCCAGCCCACCCAGGGTCCGGAACTCTCTTCACAAGCTCATACCTCACTCCAGTGTCCGAGTACCTTGATGAAACCCAGGTAGAGAGCGTGGAATGCCATCCTGACATCCATGACTCTCAAATGCCTAGCTCAGCCCCTCTCCAAGCTCGGCCTCAGGATTGCAAGTGTCCCTCCTGCACATCCCTCAAGCATCTCAAACCTTGCCTGCCCCTCCTCCATTCTCCATTTTGACAAACGGCATCTCTAGCCTCCGAGTTCCTCATGCCAGACACACAGCAGTCATCCCCAACACTTCTTTCCTCCCTCCCACCACGGCCTCACAGCCCTCCGCGCCCCACACCGTCTCCAAAACATGTCCTGAATCCCTCTCCACCCCTGCTGCCACCTTGCCTGCCCCACCCGCACACAACTCGTCTTCGCTCTGGCTCCTCCCACTTCACTCACTACAACCGAGCTTTTTTTGAAATACAAATCTTAAAATTTTAAATTAACGAGTTTTTAACTTCTCAGGGTTTGCCACTGTTCTTAGAATAAAGTACAATATCCTACAAAGCCTACAAGTTCCGGCCCTGTTCCGGCTGGTAGCTCTTTCCAGCCCTTTGCCCACAACGCTTTCCCCTCCCCTCTTTGGCTCTCAACTTCCATGCCCGACTTACAGTAATAAGTCGCCCTCTGTGATCGTCTACTTCCCGGCTCTGCCCTGGTTTGAAATCCCCAGAAGGGCCCTGCCACGACCCCGAGGGGCGGCAGTGAATTAGCGCAGACAGAGCTTTTGAGGGATAGGAGCCCGTCCGCAGACCAGGGTTGGTTACTGAAACTGGCCAGAGTGGGCCCGGCCTAATCCTCGCCCGCCACCGCCGCAGCAACAGTAAGCGCCAGGCCGTGCACGCGCAATGCACGACCCCGAGACTGACCCCGCTGCAGTAGGGGTTGCTTCCCCATCAGGCATCTCACTGTCTCAGGATCGGTGGGGTTGCGGGGTTCCTCCCGCCCGCCGCCCCGCCCGGTCTGCGGCGCAGCGCCTCGCCAGCCTCGCCCGGCCCTGCCGCTGCCGATGCCGCCGCAGGAACAAAGGCGCGCCGGCCCCGCCGCCCGCAGCTCCGAAAGGTCGGCGGGCGCGGCGGGGTCGAGCCGGGCGGGGCGGCCGGGCCTGGGAGACCCAGGGAGGCACGGACGCGGCCTGCCGCTCACCTACAGCCGCTCTGCGCCGCTGCGCTCAACCCGGCCTGCTGTGCCCTACTTTCCGCTCCGGAGCTAGACGTAAACAATCCCCGCCCTCGCGGCCCGCCCCCTGCGCTGCATTGGCCCTGCAGCGTGCGCGGCTCGGGGCTACGGGGGAGGGGCGGTCCTCGTGGCACACGCCTCTTGCTGAGAGGCTGCTGGATCTGTCAATCCTGACCCGACGTCCCCATTGGCCACATCTCAAGCGGTCGGAGACAAGGCCCGCGCGCCCATTGGACGCGGGGCGAGGAAAAGAAGCGGCCTCACGCTGGGGCGTTGACACGGAAGTGGGTCCAGGTCCTGTACGTCATCTGCGCCGGAACTTTCGTGAACCCCTCGTGCGATCTGATTGGCTGAGGCTAGCGCGAATGGGCCTATCAAGAGGAGTCGTGGGGGGGTCGCGCTGCCCATTGGTCCGAAGGCACTTCACTCAGGTAGGGAGGCGGACTGTGCGAGGAGGAAGCGGCTGGAAGCTGTGCGGCCACCCGGGTGGGATGGAGGCGGCAGCAGGTGAGTGCGCTGGACTGCGGGGCGTTCTCGGTCCGCGGGCACCGAGGGAAGAGGGAAGGGGCCGGCCCGCAGCTGCTGGCCAGGGCTCCGGGTTTTAGCACACCGTCGTATTTACAGTGTAAAGGTCTCAGAGGTGCTCGCGTGCGTCATTACGGCGCTTAGAAAGAAGTCTTGTTTGAATAAGGAACTCTTAAGAAGGAGAAACCGGAACGTCACATACTCGCAGTTGTTTGTAGAAGTATTATTTTGCCTTTTAAGCCTTTATATATATATATATGTGTGTATATATGTGTGTATATATATATATATATATAACTTAAAGGGAAGTTGCGTAGGATGGAATACGTACATTGGGCACAATCGGATTCTCACAGCTTAACCACGTTATCTTCCAAAAGACCTCAGGTCTGGTACCATGAGCACAAAGCTCTTACAACGCTGCATTCATCCATCGGATTATAAACGTAATACTGGAGAGAAAAATCTGAAAAAGTTTGTTATGATAAGGGCAGACTTGCTACAAGGTGAGAGGAATAGCTTCTAGATTGATGGATGAAGGTTCCTCTTTTAACTAAGGGGGAAGTGCACATGGAAAGTAGGAAAGTACAAAAGCCTAACGGGCTTTGCAGTAAACCTCCCTGTGCCCAGAGGCAACTCCTGGTGTCACCCTTATTTTTCTGGAAGGATTCTTTACATATAAAAACTTCCATATTTGTCCAGCGTATCAAATAGTCATGGTTTGGTTGGACTTAAGGTTTGACTGGGCTTTTTATCCATACAGGGGGCCCTTTACTTCCCTCCATGGGGAGATACTGCTTTCCTTTGCCCCTTCCAGGGCAGCCTCTCACATCTAATAGGCACTCGGATTATCGTTGATAATCTGTTTATAAACTTTTTCAGTATAAGTGGAAGTTTCTTCTGGTTGGCTCCTAAGGATTGTTGTGTGAGAAGTGACTTGGGAGCAGCAGTGACTTGGGAGCAGCAGTGTCCTGTGTGATGCTCAAGCAGATAAAGTTCCCCAGTCCCACCAGTGAGGAGAGCAAGTCTTCACTATTAGGGGCCTGGCAGTGCAGCACCCGCACAAAGGGCGAGTAGGAATCAGGACCCACATCTGGCTTGTTCTTTCCCTAGTTTCTACCAGAGCACCCCTCCCCACACCAAAGAAAGGTGAAATTGATTCCCAAGTAGTTTTTGATATTAAAGCAATTTAAGTAATAGCTTTTTAAGTTGATGCAGAGGTGGCCTGAGGCATGGTGTCCAAGGTATTTGTAGGCAATGATGTGGGTGGTTGGGGGGGGGGGTGCCTTTTCCTCGTCACCTTACGAGATCTCTCGGCCCCCAGTACCAGACGAAGACCCAGGACAGGCGCTAGAACGCGCTTGTGACAAGGACCTGCTGGAAAGCCAGGCCAGGAGCACTCTGAGTTCTTTCTAGGGAGGCTTTGGTGGCGGGGGCCTTTGAACCTACCCATGAGAGATGGGTCAGGAGGGGGGTCAGTGTTTATTCACCTTTCGTTGAGCCCCTCCTGGGGACCTGGATATGCAGTGAGGGTGGTGGAGTGAGTAAGCAGCTTGCTGCAGGCCAGGCAGGAGTCTCGATGGTGAGGTCCTAAGGGCGCTGGGGCAAGAAGGTGGGCATTTTGCCGGGGGTTTGAGGGTTGTTTGTATGCAGATGGCAGCCGCTGTGGGGAGGCAGGGATTGGAATGGTGAGTATTTACAGGGTGGCATTTCAGGCTCATTGAAAGGAAGAGCAGCTGGGGCAGAGCGACCAACAGGGCTTCCCAGAGTGGTTGGACCCGGGCCTGCCTGGGGCATGGCACTGATGCCTTGGCCACCCTTGCGTACCCAGGGTTTCTGAAGGCACGATCTTCAGCCATCCAGGTGACCTGACATCCGCACCCACACGATTGTGGTTGCTTCCCCAGAGCTGTGGCCTCCCTCCTGAGAACTGGAGGCCAGGGCTGCCTTGAGTGCCTCTTCTGACCCCAGGGGAGGGGGTTGGGCACCTACAGTCAGACCTCAGAGCCGTGAGTGCTGCCCTGGCACAGGTGTACCTCCTGACTGTAACAAGCACCCTATTTACGTTAGTCTCCGCCCATTTCCCTTGGAATCAGCTGGGAGTCTTTGGCTTGAATTGGCCTTGTGCGCATGAGCTCACAGGTGCACATGAGCTCACAGGTGTGCATGCTGGAAAGAGGAGCAGTTTGAGGCATTTCCTGCCCCAGCAGCCCCACTCCAGACAGAGTGGGAGCAGCCATTTTTGAGGAACTGGTAGGTTGGGTCTGGGGCCTGCTGGAAGCCCTTTCACAGGGGTGTGTTTGCTCATGCCGGGGTGATGGAGCAGGTCTCAGGACTGCCCTGGTCTCAGGATCTGGGATGTAGGAATATCTGGTGATCCCGCAGTGAATGAACATGGAGGGCGGCTGGTATGAAGGGGAGCCCTGCCCTCCTCCCCTGTTGTCCTTCTGACTAGAGCCTGGAAACCTGGCCGGCGTCCGGCACATCATCCTCGTTCTTTCGGGAAAGGGGGGTGTTGGGAAAAGCACCATCTCCACGGAGCTGGCCCTGGCCCTGCGCCATGCGGGCAAGAAGGTGAGTGCCTCCCATCTCCTGAGCCGCCACCCCTGCCCCTTGTGGGCCTTGGCCGGTTCCCTGCATGCCGCGTGGACGTCCCGCCTCCTTGCAGGTGGGTATCCTTGACGTGGACCTGTGTGGCCCCAGCATCCCCCGCATGCTCCAGGTGCAGGGCAAGGCTGTGCATCAGTGTGACAGTGGCTGGGTGCCTGTCTTCGTGGACCAGGAGCAGAGCATCTCCCTCATGTCTGTGGGCTTCCTGCTAGAGAAGCCGGATGAGGCAGTGGTGTGGAGAGGCCCCAAGAAGAACGGTAATGACCGGACAGGAGCCTGCTGGCCTCCCCAGCTGCCCTCTTGGTGCAGAAGCCCCAGGGCTGCTGGCTCTCCTCCACACAGCCCTCCCCCCACAGCACCAGCCTCGGGTAAAGTTCGAAAGACTCTAGTGCTGGCCTTTTCATTTCCAAGATTCTCCTGCTGTGTACCTAAGCAGTCAGCCCGCAAGTATTCAGACAGCGGGCCTGGGGGGCAAGGGCATGAGACCCAGCTGTGAAGCCTTCAGCCACCTGGTCCATCCCCTGGGGCTCAGACCACCCAGCGTGGGGTGCCTGGTGGGGCTCTGGTGCCTTTGAACAAGCAGATGGCATTAAGCTCCCTCTGGTGGGCAGAGCAAGGCTGCCGGGTGTGAGAGCAAGCTCAGGGTGGGGGCTGCTTCCAGGACACGCCGGCGTGGCATTCCACCACAGGCCACCTCTCTCAGGCACAGATGCCTACCCCAGGAGGATCCGTGCTAGCCATCCTCAGCTAAGGCCCGATCAGAAGTCCGTGGGGTGGGGTGGGGTGGGGAAGGGTCTCCCCACCTTGCTGTACTCATCCTGCCCCTGGTGAGGAATGGCACACGCAGCTCTCGGGGTGCCCGGTTGTACCGGAACCCACAGACACCACCCTGCCCCAGGGCTGGGAGGAGGCAGCGGGCTTCGTGTGACCCCTTTGTGAGACCCTGCCTCGCCTGCTCTCTCCCCGCCCCCGGGCCACCCTGGGTCTCCACAGCACTGATAAAGCAGTTTGTGTCCGATGTGGCCTGGGGGCAGCTGGACTACCTGGTTGTGGACACGCCCCCAGGGACCTCTGATGAGCACATGGCCGTGGTGGACACCCTGCGCCCCTACAGCCCCCTGGGGGCCCTCGTGGTCACCACGCCCCAGGTACTACGGGAGCACCCTTACCCTGGGGCAGGCGCTTTGCCCTACTCTTTCCGCTCATCTTGGCTGAGTTTTCGGGATGCCCATCAGCTGGTCCCGTCTCTTTCCTGGTCTCCAGGCAGTGTCCGTGGGGGATGTGAGGCGGGAGCTGACCTTCTGTAAGAAGGTGGGGTTGCGGGTGATCGGGGTCGTGGAGAACATGAGCGGCTTCGTCTGCCCACACTGCGCGGTGAGTTGTAGGAAGTCGCAGGAAGTCGGGGGTGTGGGTGGTCGGCCTATCCCCTTTGAGGGTGGTGAGAGGCCTGGAGGTGGACCCCGTCCCTCTGTGTTCTAGGAGTGCACCAACGTCTTCTCCAGGGGAGGCGGCGAAGAGCTGGCCAGACACGCTGGAGTCCCCTTCCTGGGTAAGCGAGCCTAGGGCTGCCCCGGGGCCCCTGCTCTAGGTGGCCTTACCTCCCTACGCCTCCTGCACCCAGGGAAGAGGAGAGGAGGGTGGAAAGTCCTGTCCTCCCTGAGCTGCGAGTGTCAGCTCATCTCTAACAAATTGGTTCCCACCAACTGGAGAGAGGCAGCCCCCCAGGCTTTGGGCGGGTGTCTGCGGCTGAGACCACGGAGGTGCAGAGGGGCGGCCGAGGCTCTGCGAGCCTGTATCAGGGACGCCAGTGGCACGGGACCATGTCCCCAGCACTCACCCTGTGCTTTCTTACAGTGGCCGGAGCCTGAGAGGTGGTGGGGCCAGGCCTGCTGGGCGGGTTGCTGGCCGTTCCAGTGGAGACTGAGGCCAAGAGTACATTCCTGCCAGGCACCTCAGCAAGAGGTGTCTGCTCTCGGCTAAAGCGGCACTGCCAGTGGGCTCCTGGGCCGTGGGGAGTGTGGACGTGGCCTCCCGGCCCCGGGCTTTGCTCTCACCACCTGGCCCCTTCTCTGCCCCTTTCCTTTCTCTCTCCCAGGCTCTGTGCCCCTGGACCCCGAGCTCACGCGGAGCCTGGAGGAGGGCCGAGACTTCATCCGGGGGTTCCCCGAGAGCCCCGCGTTTCCCGCGCTCTCTTGCATAGCCCAGAAGATTCTGAATGAGGCGCCTGTTGGACTCTCCTGACCAAGGCAGTTTGAGTGTCTCCTCTGTGTGCTGTGGGGCTCATGCTCACAGCCCGGAACAGAGGCGGTGGCACAGTTCCTGAAACCCGTGGCCCTGGGTTGCCATAACCACGTGCTCCTCTCCCCGTGGGCCTGCCCTGGACATTTCTGGTGCTTCAGCAGCATCTCAGCATCAGAGCCACTGACAGTCAGTGGTTCCACCTGGTCGGCCTGTGGCAGGGCCCGGGGATAGCGTGAGGTCGCGATGCCATGGCCTGACCTCCCTGGTGGTGCAGCTCAGTACTCACATGCCCCAGATAGATGGGCTGCTCCCAACAGCCAAGTCTCCACGTTGTTCACAAAGCTTGTGTGTCTGGGAGCGCACTGGGCCTATAATCCTGGTGAAATAGGCAGCAGCACCCAGTAAGGTGTCAAACTTGTAATTCAGAGGAGCCCAAAATAAACCCGTCCCACCGCTGTGGTTACAGGTCTGACCTTTCTAGATCATTCTGCTCTGGTTCCGCCTCTCTGGCTTAGTGTCACCATGTCCTGTGGCAGACAGTGTCCACTCCCTAAGTCCCAGGAACTGGGCCAACAGCCCTGTCGTCGACAGGCTCCTGGAGACTCTGGTGAAGATACGTTTGGGGAGAGTTTGTCAGGTAACTTGCGATGGGTGAGTGGCCATGCTTGGCCCAGTGAGAGCTAAGTGCCCACCCCGCCCTCCGTGCTGCGGGCCTGAAGGGTTGAGCTGAAGAGCAGAAAGGTGAGTGTGAAACAGAGTCCCAGGGGTTTTCCCTGCACGGCTTCAAGGCCAGGAGGGGGAGGTTCTGGAAAGCAGGATGGTGGCATGGTGTGCTGTTCTTCCCAGTGGGAGAGGTGGGGTGCTCAGTAGAGAATGTGGAACGGTCCCTGGGGCACGGGTGGCAGGGGGCCTGGGGAAGCAGCCCTCAGATATCACTTCTTGGGGGCAGATGGGGAGGTGAGGAGTGTACCAAGGATGGATATTTCTTGTGGGGGTTGGGGGAGCAGGGGCAGAACTGTTGAGGGGTTTGGCCAGGAGCACAGGGACCTGGAGAGTGAGGGTCTGCACCCCCTCTGGCCCCAGGCTGGCCTCAGCAGGAGCAGCTGGGCCCCAGCTTCCCAGGACCAGGCCACCTCCAAGGACGCTGCCCAGCGAGGGGGCTGAGATGCCGAGGTTCCTGGAGGACCTGAGTAAGTGCCCGCCGCTCCTCAGGTGGGGATGGGGCCTGGGGACTAGTGGACGAGAATTGTCTGGGCACAGGACAGGAAGGGTTGTGGACGGGCATGTGGGACCAAGGCAGCCAGAGGTGGGGCAGGCATGGCGTAGAGGGGCCCGCAGCCCAGCCAGCACTCCTCCCTCCCTGAGCTCCCCGCACAACCTCATATATGGCCACATTTACTGGGTTGCTTTTAATTGATAGTTGGGGAGGCTGTGTCCCCAACCCTCCCGGTCAGGCCCTCAGGAACCAGGCTGGGGCCCACAGGTCCCAGGTCCATGTCCCCTGGGGTGGCAAGAGCCCGTCCAGACCGCAGGGCAGCCTCGGGTCAGCAGTGGGCAAAGTGGGCCTCGCCGACGTCGCGCAGGTCAAGGCCCGATATGCTGGGGGGGCTGGCGCAGGTGATGTTGTTGTAGGTGTATGCGGGCTGGTGGTCGTCATCTCCCTCTGCCATGGCCTGGACGAAGCGGGGCACAACGCCCGGGTGCTGCAGGGTGAAGGCCCTCAGGGCCTTGAGGGGGCAGCTGCAGTCCCAGGGGTTGCCCTCGAGCCACAGGCGCTCCAGGCCGGGGGGCTGCGGCACGAAGGTCCGCAGCGAGTTGTTCCGGAGGCTGAGGTAGCGCAGCTGCCCCAGTGGCGCGAGCACAGTCTCAGGCAGCGCCTCCAGGCGGTTGTGCGACACGTCCAGCCAGAAGATGCGCTGCAGGGGCCCCAGGGCATCCACCGATAGTGCAGACAGCCGGTTGCGGGAGAGGAGGAGGTACTCCAGGTGGCTGAGGCCCTGGAAGAGCTGGCCAGGCAGGTGCGTGAGCTGGTTGGAGGTGAGGTCCAGCTCCAGCAGCTCGGCCAGCCCCCCCAGGCTCTGCTCATCGATGGCCGCAATGCCGTTGTCCTTGAGGAAGAGCCGGCGCAGCCCCGAGAGGCCGGTGAAGGTGTGTGGGCCGAGGCAGCCCAGGCAGCTGCCCTCCAGGTGCAGGCTGTGCAGCTTGCCCAGGCCCTGGAACGCCTGCTCTGGAAGGTTCCTCAGACAGTTGCCAGAGAGGTTCATGACGGCCAGGTTGTAGAGGCCCAGGAAGACGCCTGCCTTGAGCTCCTGGAGCTGGTTGTTGTTGAGCGCCAGCACCTCCAGCTGGTCCAGGCCCTCGAAGGCCTCTTCCGGCAGCTGCCGGATACGGTTGTAGCCAAGCTGCAGCTCCTCCAGGAAGTGAAGGTCCTTGAAGGTCCGGGGCCGTAAGCCAGCGATGGCATTGTGTGAGAGGCGCAGAACGTGCAGGCCCAGCAGCCCCGGGAAGGTGTCCTCCAGGAGGCCACCCACGCGGTTGTGTGACAGGTCCAGCCAGCGCAGCGCCTTCATGCCCAAGAAGGCACCTGGGGCCACAGCGGTGATGAGGTTGTGGTCCAGGTAGAGCTTCTGGAGCTTGGGCAACTTGACAAAGACATTGGCTTTGACGCTCCGCAGGGCATTCCTGCTCAGGTCCAGCTCGCGGAGCTCACTGAGGCCGCAGAAGAGCGCGGGCTGCAAGTAGGCCAGCTTGTTGCCCGCCAGCACCAGCTCGCGTAGGCTGGCCAGGTCCTGGAACGCAGTGTCAGGCAGCACGGCCAGGCTGTTCCAGCCCAGGTTGAGGTCCCAGAGGTGGGCAAGGCCCCTGAAGAGGCCCTCGTCTACCCGGCTGAGCAGGTTGTTGTTGAGGCCGAGCGAGGCCAGGCCCGGCGTGTGCAGGAAGGTGCGGGCTGCCAGGCTGCGCAGCTGGTTCCGCTCCAGGTGCAGGTGGTACAGGTTCTGCAGGCCCAGCAGCGCCTGCGGCTCCAGGCTGGCCAGCCCGCTGCCCTGCAGGTTGAGGAAGCCCAGGCTGGAGAGGTTCCGGAAGGTGGCCGCGGGAATGAAGGAGAAGTTGTTTCCATCCAGCCACAGGGCCCTGGTGCCGTCCGGGATGCCGCTGGGCAGCCGCGTGAGGTTCCGAGAGCTGCAGAAGACGCTGAGCTCATCCGTGTAGTCGCCGTGGCCGCAGGAGCAGACGGCTGGGCACTGGGGGCCCTCAGGGTCTGCTGGTGCCGCGGACTCCACTTCCTCCAGGCTGTGGGAGCCCAGCACTGCCCAGGAGACCAGCAGCACCACCAGGGCCGGGCCTCCTGTGGGGAGAGGGGCTTGGGGAGGCAGCACTGAGGCAGCCCAGGATGTGAGCCCAGGGCAAGCAAGACATGGAACCTTCCAGGCCTCAGCCACACACCTGGACCACAGCACGCAACTATTTAGAGAAGGTACTGCTGACCGGACCAGAGAAGGTATGGGCTGAGATCTGGGTCCCCCACTTAAATGGGAAGCGGAGACCAGGCAGGACGACTGGGATGTTCTCTGGTTCAAAACCAACTGCCCTTTCCACCCCACAGGACCAACGGGGTGGCAGTGCCTGTTCCAGAGAAAACTGAAGGCTGGGGACCTGGCCACTAGGCCGTGTGTTCATCTGCGTCCCCAAGGTGGACACTCAAGCCAGGCTAGGCTGCCAGGCAGGCCTGGAGGAAAGTGTGAGAGAACGTTCTGGAGCAGGCTCGGGTGGGTATGCACTTGCTGCCCTGATTGTCTGGACAGTGAGCTGGATGCCCGCTGCCCCAGCTAGACCCCTGACTGGGGGGTACTCACCTCCATAGTGTGTCCAGCATGCACCCAGGGACTTGGCCCAGTGCTGGTGTGGGGAGAGGAAGAGGGTGCAGGCCTCAAGGGCAGATGGGGACCCCAGGCCACTGACCCACCGGAGGTTGGGTTGTGGCACAGGACAAAGGATGCCAGGCTTCACAGCAACAATCCCCATAAGTTCCACTGGGCACTGGGCTGCCCACCACATCAGGCCTCTCTCTGGTCTCTGAGAGTTCCGGGTCCCAGGGTGGACACGCCAGCTGGATTGGGCTAGGCTCCGAGAGGGGACAGGGTGGCAATGGACTGGCCTCCGAGCAGCTGGGAAGGCAGCATGCCCTGGCCTAGTGGAGGGTCTAAGGCAGGGCCCCTGGGGTAGCAGTGTGGGTGCCCTTCCTCCCCTGCGCTGCCAGCCTGGGCCCTCGGGTAGGAGAGGAGGGGGCAGGAGGCAACAGCGATTCTCCAGGGCCAGGCACCCCACCACCCTGAGTGGCCACATTTCCCCCATGGGCTCCCAGAGCCCCAGCCCACCTAGAGCTGAGCCCTCCCTGGGGGCAGCCCCTACCCCAGTGAGTTTGGGGGCACACGGTCGCGGCCCCCCGCCCCGAAGTGAGTGGCTGGGGCACGTGGGGGCCTCACCTCTCCTCAGGGCCATCCCTCGTGCAGAGCAGTCCGCAGGCGGGCAGGGAGCGGGGCGCGTCTGTTGGGACCGGCTGCTCCTGCCCTCTGGATTTCCCCACTGCCTCTGGGACAGCCAGCACCCTTGTCACTGGCCAGCCCAGCCTGCTGGCCCCAGCTCCATTAACCCCCTCCTGCCGGGCTGCCAGCATCAGCACTGGGGCCCAGGGTGCGGATGGCACAGGGGACAGGCTGGGGGCTGCATCTGCCCTGACGCATCTTCAGGGTGCAAGGTGGCCCGGGGTGCAGCTCTAAGGGACAACAGGGGCCCATACCCCCATCTTCCCAACCCCCTCATCTTCCCATCCCCCTGCAGGGCTGGGTGGAGCAGAGCTGGGGCTGCAGGCAATGCTGGGCGGGGGTCTCCCTTGGAGCAGCCTGTGAGGAGCTGGTGCTCAGCCGGCTGCCCTGCCTGTGGGTAGGGGCCCCTCAGGGGGCTCCTAGGGTCTTCCCTCCCAGCAGATGGCCATGTGGGAGTTAAGCAGGAACCACACATCTCCAAATGGGCCTGCCCATCTACCCCCCGCATGCTGACCACTCCCCCCTCCTCCCCATTTCCTAACTGCCTGGGTGGGGTCCTTGTTCAAGCTCCCAGGGGCCTGGCCCAGCCTTGGCTTCTCCCGTGACCTCAGGGTCAGCTGCTGTCTGGCCACTGCCCCTCCCCCTAGCCTCTTCTAGGAATGCTTGGCAGGGGCCTGGCCACTTTGTGTTTGTTTTCCCCAACAATGTCCTCCCAGGAAGAGAGTGGGGGATGGCTGGCCTCGGGGGCGAGGTCTTGTGGCTGTGAGACCAGCCCCCACCAGCAGTGGGCCCCATCCTGCCCTTCAGGGCTCCTTTGGGGCCATGGCCACCCTGCACTGCACAGGCCCTGGGACAGGTACCCAGTGCCCGGCCTGAGGTCAGCCACAGGTCAGACATGGTAAGAAGGGGTGTGGCTGCTTGATTCAGGGCACCATCCTCCCCTCCACCTGGGGAGCCCTGGGCTCTGCTCTTCCAGATCTGACCACATCTACCCCAGGCTGCCAGGTACCATGCTGCCCTCCAGCCACCCCTCCCTCCTTTACTGAGGACCCTCCCTCTGGCTGCCAGCCGTGCCTGCCCACCAGTCCCTCTGCTCTGCCTGGGGCGGGGAGGCCTGTGCTCGGAAGGGGCCAGAAGGCATTGAAAAAGGCAAAACTGAGTCTGGGGAGGGCAAGGCTTGTCAAGCTTTAGGAGACTCTTGAACCTCTTGGTGAGGCAGAGGAGGAAGTCACGTCTGCCTCCTGAAAGGTGCATGGGTGAGGAGAGAAGTGAGGTAGGAGCTGTCCAGGCCCAGGAGAGGCTGGAGGCCAGGCCCGCCCCCAGCCTCGTGGCGCCCCCTCCCCAGCTCATCCTGCAGCAGTGCTGAGGGGCGGCTTTGTCTTCCTCCCTTTATTGAGCTTTGATTTTTTTCCAGGTCGTTTCTCAGCTTCTCTTCTGAGAAATTATAGATCTGCAGGGAGAAAGTCCACACCCAGAAATTTACACGGTAAACATACATTTACACAGTAGAAAGTGCGGACTCAGCAGGAGTCCGGGGCCATGGGGCCTCTTCACTGGGAAGCTCCCCGCATGCGGGCCAGACGCACGTGGACTGGAAGGAGGGTTAGCATTCCTGTCTCCTCACACTTGGAGGGTTGGGGCTGGAAACTTCCTGTAAATCCCCAGTCGAGCTTGTGTGGCAGAGAACCCTTATCGGGACTGTGGCAGGCAGGTTAGGTATCTGTAAACCTTTCTCGAGTCCTGCGGTAACACTGGTGTTCAGCCTGCTGAGCAGAAAAGACCTCTATTCTGGCCGCCCGGGGCCAGCTCTGTCCCTGCTCCCCCAAAGCAGCCAGTCCTGACCCAGGCTGACTACTGCCCTGGCCTCTCTTTACAGTTCACCCCCTGAGGGTTCCCCCGAGGAGTCTGGTTTCTGGTCTTCGTGGAAATGGTGTTGTACAGAAGCCCCAGGCCCGGCCACTCGTGTGCCAAGTCATAGCATCCCTTCCCTCCTTCCTGTCGTGGTGCTGCGACCCTGTGGGGCCCTTGTGCGTTCCTGTGGTCCTGAGTGGACCCGCTGGGACCAGCCTGTGTCATCCTTGCAGGTAAGGCCAACCCCTTTCTGGGTAGTTAGGGGTCACACCTTCCTGGAGCCAATAGGGGTGCCCTCAACACCGCCCCCACCCTGTCTTCTCAGCCCTGAAGGTGGGGGGACAGTGGCTTTCATTGTCCTGTGTTTCTTCAGTCACTAGTGATGGCAGCTGTTCATAGGGAGGTTCATTGGCCAGTGGATTGTCCTTTTCTGTAAAGTACATGTTTAAGTCTTTTGCTGTCAGTGTGACTTATGTTTTTTTTAAAACTGTATGCTGGATGCAAGCCCCTTGTTAGGTATGTGTGGCCAGTGTTGTCTTCTGCACTGTGGTTTGCCTCCATTCTCTTCATTGTGATTCTGGTGAGAGTTCTTAATTTTAACATGGTCTCATAAGGTGTTCCTTAAATGGAAAAACTGCAAAAAAAGTTTTTTTTATCTAGGCTGATGTATGTATCATGATTTCAGGTCCCGTTCAGCACATGGACTTGAGTGTATTCTCTTAAAATACTGTGTGAATGCGTCACTGCCCTACCTTTCTTTGTGACGTCTTTGGGCCACCCTTTCACTTCCTAAGAGTCAGGTGATGCTCAAGTTTCATTCTTTTTGGTGGGTTATGATCGCCTCCCCACATTTAGTGCAGTGGCTTTCCTTCCCTCCTCACTCCTGGACGCCACCCTTGACGTGGTCAGGGGCTGCATAGCCTGGCCCTTTCTGGGCTCCCCCTGAACCATGGAGGCAGAGCAGATCCTCCTCTGTCTGCAAGAGCTTCCAGGCTCTTCGTGGTCCATGTGTTTCCTTGTCTACAGTGGGAGCAGCCTGTCCAGGATTGACTTGTGTTGCAGTTTGAGTCTTCCAATCCGTGGACATGGCATAATTAGGTCGTCTTCAGTTTCTTTCAGTGGTGTTTTTGTAGATTTCCACGTTACGATCTTGCATATATTTTTTAGATTTTTTTTTTCCTGTAGATGGTTGTTACTTTTTTTTATTTTTAAAGATGTTGGGGGTAGGAGTTTATTAATTTATTTTTGCTGTGTTGGGTCTTCGTTTCTGTGTGAGGGCTTTCTCTAGTTGTGGCAAGCGGGGGCCACTCTTCATCGCAGTGCGCGGGCCTCTCACTATCGTGGCCTCTCGTTGTGGAGCACAGGCTCCAGACACGCAGGCTCAGTAGTTGTGGCTCACGGGCCTAGTTGCTCCGCGGCATGTGGGATCCTCCCAGACCAGGGCTCAAACCCGTGTCCCCTGCATTAGCAGACAGATTCTCAACCACTGCGTCACCAGGGAAGCCCTGGTTGTTACTTTTTTTTTTTTTTTTTTTTTTGCAGTACACGGGCCTCTCACTGTTGTGGCCTCTCCCGTCGCGCAGCACAGGCTCCGGACACACGGGCTCAGCGGCCATGGCTCACGGGCCCAGCAGCTCCGCGGCATGTGGGATCTTCCCGGACCGGGGCACGAACTCGTGTCCCCTGCATCGGCAGGCGGACTCTCAACCACGGCGCCACCAGGGAAGCCCGGTTGTTACTTTTGATACTATTGTAAGTGTTACCTTTTTTCCTCTTTCATTTCATTTTGTCTAAGCTGAAATATTTTTCTAGAAGTATGTTGGGATAATGTAATAAAGTATTAATTGTGGTGCCTTTACCCAACGATTGTTTCTAAAACAGCTTGATTGATGTACAATTCTCACACCATAAAGTTCACCCACTGTCGATATAAAATTCAGTGATTCTTAGTAAATGTGTACAGCTGTGCAGCCACACGCACAGTCCAGCTTTAGAACATCCCCATACAATCGGTTGCCTTCTGTATCTCACCTTTTGCACTGAGCATGTTTTCAGGGTTCACCTACATAGTGTATATCAGTACTTCATTCCTTGTTATGGCTGGACAATATTCTGTTTTATGGATTTGTGACATTTGTTTATTCATTCATCAGATGATAGGCATCTGGTTTGTTCCTATTTTGGGGTTATTATGAATAATGTTGCCATGAATATTTGTGTATGAGTTTTTGTGTGGACGTAGCTTTCACTCCTCTTGGGTAGATTCTTAGGAGTGGAATTACTGGTTCACATAGTATTTATGTCTAGTTTTTAAAAAACTGTTTTCCAAAATGATTGTATCATTTTACAAATTACGAGAATTCCAATTCCACATCCTCACTACTATTTGGTATGGTCAGTTTTGTTTTGTTTTTTAGCTCTTCTGTTTCTCTGACAGTTGATATTGGGCACCTATTCATGTGTTTGTTGGCATTCTTATATCTTCTTTGGTGAAGTGTCTGTTCAAGACTTTCGTTCATTTTTTAACTGAGTTGACTCCTTACTGAGTTGCAACACTACATATTATGGATATGAGACTTTATATATTATGGATTATCAAGGATAACATTTGCAGATATTTTTCTGTTTGTGGTTTGTCGCCTTTTTTTCATGTTGTCTTTTGAAGTACGAAAGTTTATTTTAATGAAGTCCAAAATTTATCAGTTTTTTTCTCTCATGGCTCATGATTTTGGTGTGGTGTCTAAGAACTCTTTGCCTAACCCAAGATCACAAAGATCTTCTAATCAAGGATTATAGGATCTTTCCATTTACTTACATCTTCTTTCTCTTAGTTTGCAGTGTATAAATCTTGCACTAATTTTGATCATTTCTAAGTATTTTGTTAGTTTTGATGCTATTATGGAGTTGTTTTAATTTTGTTTTCAGACTGTCATTAGTATGTGCAAATACAACAGATTTCTCTTGTTAATCTTGTGTCCTAGGACCTTACTGAACTTATTAGTTCCAGGTATGTGTGTGTATCTGGATTCCTTAGGATAAGCCACATATAGGATCACACCATCTGTGAATAAGGACATTTTTACTTATTTTTACTCCTTTCCAATATGTATACTGCCGTGTGTGTGTGTGTGTGTGTGTGTGTGTGTGTGTGTGTGTGTATGCCTTATTGCACATCAGTACAATGTTGACAAGTGGCAAGAGCAGATATCCTTGCCTTATTCCTGATTTTAGTGGGAAGCATTCAGTCATCCATTGTGAATTATGATGCTGGCTTATGTTTTTCATTGATGCTGTCACAGGCAGAATAATGCTCCCAAACCAAAGATGTCCGTGTCCTTATCCCTGGAATCATGAATGTGTCAGGTTACATGGCAAAGGGGAATTGAGGTTGCTAATCAGCTGACCTTAAGATAGTGAGATTAATGTGGATTTTCCAGGTGGCCCCATTGTAATTACAAGTGTCCTCTAAAGTGGCAGAGGGCGTCAGAAGAGGTCGGTGTGAGGCAATGAGAGAAGGACTCAACCCACAGCTGCTGACCTTTGAAGATGGAGGAAGGAGGTCAGGAGCCAAGAATGCAGGCGCCTCTAGCAGCAGGAAAGGGCAAGGAAACAGATTCTCCCTTAGAGCCTGAAGAAGGAACCAGCTCTGTGGACACTTTTAGTCCATTGAGACTCATGTCAGACTTCTGACCTCCAGAACTGTTAGATGATACATTTGTGTGGTTTATTTCTTTTATTTATTTATCGATTGATTAGCTGCGTTGGGTCTTCATTGCTGTGTGCAGTCTTTCTCTAGTTGCGGCGAGCGGGGGCTACTCTTCATTGCAGTGCGTGGGCTTCTCATTGTGGTGGCTTCTCCCATTGTGGAGCACAGGCTCTAGGTGCACAGGCTTCAGTTGTTGTGGCACGCGGACTCAGTAGCTGTGGCTGGCGGGCTCCAGAGCGCAGGCTCAGTAGTTGTGGCGCATGGGCTCAGTTGCTCCACGGCATGTGGAATCCTCCCAGACCAGGCCTTGAACCCGTGTCCCCCTGCATTGGCAGGCGGATTCTTAACCACTGCGCAACCAGGGAAGTCCCCATTTATGTTGTTTTAAACAACTAAGTTTGTAATGATTTGATACAGCAGCATTTGGAAATTACAGATGTCCTTTAAACAGGTCGAAGAGGCTCCCTTCTATTCCTAGTTTGTTGACTTTTTATCACGAACAGGTGTGGGATACATACATACACTGAGGTGATCTTGTGGATTTTGTCCTTTATTCTATGACTGTGGTTTATGTTAATTGATCTTTAGATGTTTAACCAACCTTGCATTCCTGTGATAAATCCCACCTGGTTGTGTATAATGTTGCTGTATTTGGGTTGCTAACGTTTTAAAGATTTTACATCTGTATTCATGAGGGACATTGATCTCTCGTTTTGTTTGCTATTAGGATAACATTAGCCTCAAATAGAATGAGTTGGGAAGTGTCCCCTCCTGTATTTTCTGGGAGAGTTTGTGAGTGATTAGTGTTACTGATAGAATGCACTAGTGAAGCCATGTGGACCTGAGCTTTCCTTTGCATGAAGACTTCAGACTTTTGTTAAATCAATTTAAGGAATTTGTCCATTTCATCTAAAATCTAATTTGTTGGTATAGTTTCCCTAGTATTCCCTTGTAAGTCCTGTTCATTTCTGTAGGAATGGTAGTGATGTACCCTTTTTCATTCATGATTTTGGTAATTTGTGTGTTATTTTGTTGGTCAGTGGTTTTTGTTTTCTGTTTCATTGATCTCCTTGCTAATCATTACTATTTCTTTTCTTCTGCTTCCTTTGGGTTTTGTTTGCTCTTCTTTAGTGTTTTAAGGTAGAAGCCTAGGTTTTGTGAGGCCTTTCTTCTTTTCTCATACAGGTGTTTAAAAGCTATATACATTTCCCTCTAGCACTGCTTTAGCTACATCCCACAAATTTTGTGTTTTGATTTCCCCTCTTTTTGACCCACACACTATTTAGATGTGTTAACTTCCAAACATTTGGGGGTTTTCCAGGCTTCATTTTGTTGTAGATATCTAATTCCACTGGAGTTTGAAATTACAAAGTATACTCTGTCTTTTGAAATTCATTGTGATTTGTAGTCTTAAGATATTGTCTATCCTGGAGAATGTTCCATGAGCACCTGAAAATGCTGGTGGAATGTTCTATAAATAGGTTCAGTTGAGTGACAGTGTCCTGTTATCAACTAGACTATTAAAGAATCTCTATTGTTTTAAGAGTTTTTTTTTAATTATTTATTTTTGGCTGCACTGGGTCTTCGTTGCTGCGCACAGGCTTTCTCTAGTTGCAGAGAGTGGGGGCTACTCTTTGTTGCAGTGCACAGGCTTCTCATCGCAGTAGCTTCTCTTGTACAGCATAGGTTCTAGGCACGCGGGCTTCAGTAGTTGTGGCACGTGGGCTCAGTAGTTGTGGCTCATGGGCTGTAGAGTGCAGGTTCAGTAGTTGTGGTGCACGGGCTTAGTTGCTCCCCAGCATGTGGGATCTTCCCAGAACAGGGTTCGAACCCATGTCCCCTTCATTGGCAGGCAGATTCTTAACCACTGTGCCACCAGGGAATCCCTCCTTTATTGTTGAATTACTTATTTTATCTTTGAATTTCTAAAATTCTTTGGTCCCTGACCATTCAGACTAGACGTGAGGTATTCATTCCTTCAAAAGAGGGTTGTTAGAACAGAAATCAGAGGAAAGAAAAGAGATTATTGGAACCTTAAAAAGTCAAGATTCTGGCCTAAGAAAATATTCTGACAAAGAATAAGAAAAGTCTTTCTTTGAGCTACGGAGCAGGAGAAAGGCTGGAGAAGAAAGGAAGAGAAGGAACCTGATGTTCTGCCACCTCAGTGGAATCCCAGATGGGCCTGAGGGCCCCAGAGCAGAGGTGACCCTGACCTTTGCTGAGGACTGACTGAGACATGGTGGAACAGGTGTGTGTACCCTGGGGACATACATGGCTGCAGGACCAGCCTTCCTCTCTGGATCCACAGCACCTGGGCCAGGCTCTCTCCCAGATCCACTGAGATCCAATTCTTCTCCAGGCCTCTCTGCTGCCCCAACTCAGAACCAGTGTCCATAGAAGTGGATGGTCCAGGAAAAGCCTCTCCTTTTACGGTTTAACTGACAGATTAATAGTTAAAAGTTTCAGATTATTAGAGAGAGGTGGGGGATGCACAACATTGTGAATGTACTAAATGCCACTGAATTGTTGTCCCTGGTGG